TGGAAGTTCACGTATTTGAACTCAAAATTCGGCCAGCTAGTACCATTTTCCCCTGCAATTGCGGACAAATCTATACATTAATGAAAATGAAATCAATACTCCCAGCTAGCATCAATAAATTTGTCCCCCAAATCGCGAAGAAATATAGAAATCTACGTAAATAGTCCTTTTTCACGTGCGACCTTTTTTCAGGAGTGTTCCTTTATAACGTAGCTCGAACTTCCTTATTTAATAATATTGTGCCGCCATAAAGCGGCATCCAACTATCTGAGAGAGTACAGTTTGAAAGGCGCCCCCTCCCCAACAAAAAAAATAATCGCGGACTCACTTATAAATCCACGTCCCAAACTAAACAAAAATGGCAATCTTTTGTCGATTTCTCCAAAATCGCCGACAAATCTAGAAACCCACGCCCGGAAACTAAAAACTGGGCCAGCTAGTGCCAATTTTATCCACCTTGAAAAAATTGCCGAAAAATCGATCAATCGACGTTCTTACAGGGAAAATACAACATTTGCAAACATCAAAAAATAAAACTACCAAATCATTTTGAAATACCTTGCTGGACTGTTAGTGAATGACAGTGTAAAGCATCCTGTAAAATCATGGCACCTGGTATACTGTCATTTTCAAGAAAAGTGGTATTTTTGTATCAATTTCCAACGCTGATCGGCCGATCAGCGTTGGAAACAACTGGCTTTTTTTTCAAATACTGGCCCAAATTGACCATAGCACTTGTTTGCAATCGATTACAAACCTATGAACGGGTACGAGCCAGCTAAACTGGTTCCCTGACCTTACAATTCCCCAATGTATGTAAACTGCTCTGTTTCTTCTTATATGGAGTCAGGGAACCAGACTATAGGAAATTTATCGTTTTTCTTGGTTTTTATAGCATTTTCGAACCCAAAACCTCAAAAAAGTCAGTGTAACTATATTTGCTATTATTTCCAACCCCCCCCATTCCATCCATTCCTGGAAATTACAGCTAAAGCAAATGATGTATATTCCCTTTAAACTTGACCTAAAATTCGGCCAGCTAGTGCTAATGTCCCATACATCGCAGAAAAACTCCAGAAACTCACCTTCTTGACCACAAACGTCAGCCAGCTAGTACCAATTTGTCCCCCAAATCAAGAAGAAATCTATAAATCTACGTTTTTGAAAATGAAATCAATATTCGGCCAGCTAGTACCAATTTGTCCCCCAAACGCGGAGATATCTAGAAATCTACGATAATAGTTCTTTTTTACGAGCTATCTTTTTTGAGGGGCCCTTTATATCGTACCGCGAACGTCTTAAAAAAATAGTGCCGCCATAAAGCGGCATCTAACTGTCTGATAGAGTCCGATTTGAAGGGCGCCCCCACAGAAAGATGGTGTCCATCTCCCCACTAAAAAAATATCGCCAGCTAGTGTCAATTTCCTTGAAATCGTGCACAAAATATAGAAATTGACGTAGCCCTACTTTAACTCAACTAGGCCAGCTACTGCCAATTTTGTCCAAATCGCGGACAGCTTTTTTTTTGTTACAAAATATACAAATGCACGTTCTTTATTTGAACAAAAAGCACGATCGTCCAGCCAGTGCCAAAAAACCCCACCCCAAATCGCGGACAAACTTGTAAACCACGTTCCCAAACTACAAAATTGGCCATCTTGTGCCAATGTTCCCCAGATCGCGGAGAAATCCAAAAACCTACGCTCTAAAGCTGAAAACTGGACCAGCTAAAAAAATATCAATCCACGTCCTTAATCTTGACCTAAAAATCGGCCAGCTAGTGGAAATGTCCCTGAAATTGCTGACAAACTCATGTTCTTTAACTCAAAATCAGCTAGCTAGTGCCTTAGGCCTATGTACCAAAAATCGCCAAAAAATTCTAGAAATCCGCGTTCTTGATCTCAAATACTCGGCCAGCTAGTAGTCCTACTATTTTCCCCCAAATCGAGGAAAAAATTATAAATCTACGTTAATAGTCCTTTTTTTCACGAGCGACCTTTTCTGCAGGAGTGCCCCTTTATAACGTAGCGCGAACGTCTTTAATTAGTTGTGCCGCCATAAAGCGGCATCTAACTGCCTGGTAGTGTCCGATTTTGAAAGGCGCCCCCATGAAAGATAGAATTCTACGTAAATAGTTCTTTGTTCACGAGCGGCCTTTTTTTCGGGAGTGCCCTTCATAGCAAAGCATGAAAAGTCTTTAATTAGTTGTGCCGCCTTAAAGCGGCATCTAACTGTCTGATAGTGTCCACTTTGAAGGGCGCCCCCACAGAAAGATAGAAATCCACGTAAATAGTCCTTTTTCACGAGTGGCCTTTTTTCAGGAGTACCCCCTTTATAACGTAGCGTGAACGTCTTTAATTAGTTTTACTGCCATAAAGCGGCATCTATAGTGTCCGCTTTGAAGGACGCCCCCATAGAGAGATGGTTTCCAACCCCCGCCCCCCCCCCGCCCCCGCCCCTGCCCCCCCCCACCAAAAAAAATGCCAGCCAGTGTCAATTTCCCCCAAATCGCGCACAAAATCTAGAAATTGACGTACTGTATAAACCTAACTCGGCCAGCTAGTGCCAATTTTTTCCCTCCAAATCTCGGACAAACTTCAAAATGCAAGTCCCCTAACTACAAATTTGGCCATCTTGTGCCAATATTCCCCCAAATCGCGGAGAAATCTAGAAATCCACGCTCTGAAACTGAAAACTGGACTAGCAAGTGCCACGAAATTGCAATTTTTTTTTTAAATCCACGCTCTTAATCTTGAACTAAAAATCGGCCAGCTAATGGAAAGCCCCAGACATCGCGGAAAGTTATAGAAATCCACGTTCTTTCCCTCAAAACTTGGCCAACTATTACCAATTTTGTCCCCAAATCAAGGAGAAATCTTTAAATCTACGTATCTTGAAATGAAATCAATACTCTGCCAGCTAGCACAAATATTCCTCGACCAAATCGCGGAGAAATCTAGAATTCGCGTGAATTTTTTTTCACGAGCGACCTTTTTTTTTCAAGAGTGCCCATTGATAACTATTTCGCTGCCGGGAGAATAAAGCAATCATGACTGTCCATTACCAGCCCCATTGGGAAATGTCGATGTCCAGACATCGAAGACAAAAATCTCAAAAATTCACGTTCAGTTTAGCACAAAAATCGGCTAGCTAGTGCCCAATGTCCCATAAATCGCGGAAAATTGTAGAAATCCTCGTTCTTGACCTCAAAACTCGGCAAGCTAGAACCAATTTGTCCCCCAAAACGGCGAAGATATCTAGAAATCCACGTTCATAGTCCTTTTTCACGAGTGACCCTTTTTCAGGACTGCCCCTTTATATAACGTAGCGCGAACGTCTTTAATTAATTGTGCCGCCATAAAGCCGCGTCTAACAGTCTACCAGTGTCCGGTTTAGGCCAAAAAAAAAAGTCTCCGGTTTCTGGTATGGAGCTTGTCCAAAAAGTGGTGCGGCGACGGGGCTTTTTTTTTTTTTTTTTACCCTACTTTTTTGCTTCAAAATGTCGGCTGATGACTGCAAATGGTGCCCGACTAAACTTAGTGAAGATATATGGGAGTCCAGAGAGGCCACATAAAGCTTATTCTCGATCATAACCCCATCTAAAAACACGTTGAAATTGCGCAGCAGCAGAATTCCAGTCAAACCAGTGAGTTTGGCGGTTTTGATACATCATCTTTCATTGAAAAAAAAAACTTTTTCATTTTGCCGACACGCATGGCTACGGCGACGCGCGCGCATACCAGAAACCGGAGACTTTTGGGGGGGGGGGGGGCCTTAAAGGGCGCCCCCGAAAATGGTGTCCACCACCACCACCCCCCTCCCCCAAAAGTGAGTGCGTAATGTCCCACAAATCGTGGCAAAATCTCGAAAGCCACGTACGTAGGCCCCTACTTAACTTGAACTCAAAACTCGGGCCATTTTTTCCCCGAAATCGCAGACAAATCTGCTATTTCTTGAAAATGAAAGCAATACTCGACCATCAGCTAGCACCAATAAATTTGTCCCCAAGTCGCAGAGAAGCACATAAATAGTCCTTTTTCACGAGCGGCCTTTTTTCAGGACTGTGCTCCTTTACAACGTAGCTCGAACGTCTTTAATTAGTTGTGCCGCCATAAAGCGGTATGGAACTGTCTGATAGTGGCCCGTAGGGCGCCCCCTCAGAAAGATGGTGTGCATCCCCCCCCCCCCCCCAATGATCGAGCGATTTTTTTTGGGGGGGGGGGGTTGGAAATTTTTCACTAAATCGCGCATAAAATCTAGAAATTAATGTACTGTCCTACTCAGCTCGGCCATCTAGTGCCAATTTTGTCCTCCAAATCACGGACAACTTTTTACAAAATATAGAAACCCACGCTCTTGAACAAAAAACTCGTCCAGCCAGTGCCCAATCTCAAAATTTAAAATCCACTCTGTCCCAAAATTGGCCATCTTGTGCCAATGTTCCCGAAATCGGAGAAATCTAGAAATTCACGCTCTGATACTGAAAACTGGACCAGCTGGTGGAAATTTTATCCACCAAATCGCGCAATTTTGACCTAAAAATCAGCCAGCCCGTGCCAATGTCCCACAAATCGCGGACAAACTCTAGAAATTCACGTTCTTGACCTCAAAACTCGGCCATGCAGATTCTGTTTGGGCTGTATTCATTGTTCTTGTAGTGCTTTTTCTGTATATATTAAAATTGTGCCTGGAGAACTTCTCGATAGTTATTCAGTTAGTAATGTTTTAGTGATCCTGCAGTGGTGTAATTATAATCTTTTTTTCTCTTTTTCTTGTTCATTGGTCCACCTAATTTCCATAATTGTAGCCGACTATTTTTACATGTATGTACTTGCGAAATAGTAAATGAAATGAAATATTAAAATAGAATGAACATTCAGCCTAGCTATTTCTGCAGCTAAAGGGCAGCGCGTCCTTATTTGAGGGCGCTCTTTTTACATTCGCGCGAGCACTGCCGGTAGTGTGTCAATTGGTGGCGCCCTCTAACCGCGGGAAATCTTGATACTTCATCGCCTACTTGGTCTTGGAGTTGACTGCGGATAGTTTAGTAAACAAAGCCTGTATTTTGCGCTCCGTTACTCACTCAACTTCAACTTACAGCTTCATTTTGATTCCATACTCGAGTACAGAGCTTCAGAAATCCCCTTATGGTAACATGTCGGCGAAAATCAAATCTAACGTGAACTCGGCGTTCAAGATGAATGGCTTGTCTCTTCGAAGGTGAGTCGAACAGAAATAACTAGGCCTATCAAATGTTCCCCCCACATCTTAGCCCCATAATGTGGCCAGTTTACTGGACTGCCTCCGTAAACATAGGCCACACGTCCACCATCTTGGAATCTGACTCGCCGAAATTTTGCAAGTGATTTCCACATTGCGACTTCAACCCAGTTCATTTATGCTTTAAAAATACACTTACCCTCTTAATAACAAAATTAGAACCTGCTGCCAGTGTCAGTTGCCCAGCTGCTGCGTAATTTACGACATTTTCTGGACCATTCTTGGCAACTTGATCCAACCGTGGAGCTATCTCCATGGTCCAACTGAACAATGCCCTCGCGCAGATCGTTCACCTGTCAATCACGCGTGCAGGACGCACGCCGCAGGCCCAGTGGTAGTCCGGTTCCCAGACCAAAAGATTCTGACTATTCCTGATCCTAGGAATAGTCAGAATCTTTTGGTCTGGGAACCGGACTACCACTGGGCCTGCGGCGTGCGTCCTGCACGCGTGATTGACAGGTGAACGATCTGCGCGAGGGCATTGTTCAGTTGGACCATGGAGATAGCTCCACGGTTGGATCAAGTTGCCAAGAATGGTCCAGAAAATGTCGTAAATTACGCAGCAGCTGGGCAACTGACACTGGCAGCAGGTTCTAATTTTGTTATTAAGAGGGTAAGTGTATTTTTAAAGCATAAATGAACTGGGTTTGAAGTCGCAATGTGGAAATCACTTTCAAAATTTCGGCGAGTCAGATTCCAAGATGGTGGACGTGTGGCCTATGTTTACGGAGGCAGTCCAGTAAACTGGCCACATTATGGGGCTACCCACATCTCAACTGGGGCTGGGGGAATCATACTTTTTGGGAAAACTATAAATTAATATTGGTCTCCAACTCGTCTCACTCTGTTAATTCCCACGGTATCAATTTGAAAAATGGATAAGTATCATGATTATAGGCCCCTACCATGCCTACTGTCATTGATTTTGTCAATTACTGTTGAAAATCTAGAAAACTGAGAAAAGAAAAAAAAGAATAGGCTTATTGTTTGAGGTTGCAGAAGATGCTAACTAACTGACCATTAACAGGTTTTTTTTTGCATTTTATATTGGTTAATTTTCATTCAACTCGTGGACCTCAGGCCAAATTGCAAGACTGTTACAATATAAAAACATTAAAAAACACACCACAATATAGTCCCAATATTATACAGAAAAGTAGGCAAAAGTAATGGTCCAGCCAAAATAACAAACCATAATGAAAAAAAAATTGTACCCACTGAAATTAAGTAAGATTGATTGATAAATTTGGTAAAATTTACCTTAAATTAAAATATGGCATGGCCACCAGGAGTAAGATATTGCACGCAATACACAATAGACCCAGACATATCTTGTGGCTAGAATTGGCCTCCATGGCCAAAAGATCACAGCGTTGATAATGATGTCGAATGTGGTTTTCTTGATCGGTAGGACCTACATTCATGTACGGGTGTGTATTTACGGGTAGTACAAGAACCGGGTACCCGATTGAAAGGAAACACGGGTACCCGGGTACCCGTACCTGGGTACCCGTGAAAGAAGCCCAACCTGAAATTCAAATCTCGAAAGTTGCTGTTTAGATTGTTCATAAAGGTCCGCACGATAATGCTGCCTCATCGGTGCAGCAACACGGCTACTGGTAGATACAAGTGTGTACAATGGACTTTACAGCTTTACGGCGTAAAATTGCAACTTTCATGAGCGTCATAAATCAGATTTAAAAACTTTTCTTTCTCATTGTCTGAGAATTTACTTAGTAAGTTGTAAAATTGGTTGCACAGCCCTACAGTCATGAGAGTTGATGTTGTCAGGTGCAGGGTTTTTTTGTACTGATTGATTGACTGACATATTTCAATACATCTCTTACAGTGATGCCATCAAGTATTTGGTGGAGGCTCTGGGCTCAGTGGCTGATATACAGGAGAGAGAGCAGTGCTTGGAGAGAATCATCGAGACAGTACAGAAACAGCCTTGTGAGTCTCTTCAATCTGGACTTCATTTCAAGCATTATGGGTAGTACGGAAAATGGGTACCATATTGAAGTACAACACTGGTATCCAGATACCGGTAAAAGAAACCCAACCACAAAATTGAAATCCTCAAAGTTGTCTGAAGGGCTTTATACATGTAGCTTTACGGTGTAAACTGCAACTTTCGTGAGCATTATCTGTCAAATTAGGTTTTGCCCTTCACCAACGTTTTTAAACACTGTATACTCAGTGTGTTACCTCCCGAGTGAAAGTTGGAAAAAATCACTCGTGTGGGACTCGAACCCACGACCTCCTGCTTTCTAGTGCAGATGTGTTACCACTCGACCACCGAGCTAACGGGATCGGTTGGCTGGTTCGAATCTGATGTACATAGCAGCGGGTACCGCATCAACTATTATAAATTCCATCTTATAATAGCATTATCTGTCTCACATTAAAAAACACGAAAATGTGAAATCTCCTTTGGATTTCGTAGACTGGTTTCACTTTGAAAATTCCCCACCAATGGCATTCAAAACCTTTCTTTTTCATTGACTGAGAAGTAACTAAGTAATTTGTAAAGTTGGTTGCGGATACCCGATCCCATAATCTGGAACCGGTTCCTGACATCAGCGGGTACCCGGTTCTGATGCATACCCCTTTTTTATACCCTTGTTATATCAAGGAGCGTCAAGCCTCCCACGAATGTAGCTTGGCTCTGTTCATGATTCCAAATTGTTTCCATGATTCCAAATTCTTTCCAAAGCTCTTTGCGAATCTGGAAAGAACTTGGTGGGTGAAAGATTAGGACATCTGTGATGTGACACAAAAAAACAAATCTCAGAACAGCGCTTAAAAATGATTTTGTAAAAAAAAAAAAAAATTCTATTTAAAATATTTAGATAAACCTATTATTTTTCAACCATCATATCAATGCAAACCTATGTTTAAAATTAATTTGGTTCTCAGTTCATAGAGGTAGAAGTCATTTCCAATTAAACAAACTTTGTACAGAGTTTGCTCAGTTTCTTATGTGTTTCTCTTTGCAGCACAAAGTATTGTTTGCTTCAAAAGCTGAATTCTTTTTAATTTAGGCATTTCGTCCATTTCTTGACATTGGCACATGTAAGTTGTAGAACCTTTATAAAGAAGGCGTGCAGAGTGATGGAGATTTAAGAATAACGCTATTTCATTGTACACTGTCTATTTTGCAACCTGTTCATTTAAAATATTGAAATTAATAAATCCCCTAGGTAAAAGGGAAGATACAACATTTGCAAACATCAAAAAACAAAATGATCAAATTATCACGAAATACCTTACTGAATTGTTAGGGATTGACAGTCTCAAGCATCCTGTAAAATCGTGGCTCCTGGTGTGCTGACATTTTCAAGAAAAACTGTATTTTTCCAACGCTGGTCGGCTGACTAGCGTTGGAAAACACTGGCTTTTTTCAAAAACTGTTCCTATTTTTTTCATATTTAGTTTATTCCGCATTTTCTTTGCAATAGATTACACACCTGTGAAGGGGTACAAACCTGCTAGAGTGATTCTTTGACCTTACAATTCCCCAAAGTCTTTACGTTTCATCTTAAGTGGGGTCATGGAACCAGACTACAAGAAAATGATTGGTTTTCTTGGTTTTTCCAGCATAAACAAGCCCAAAACGTGAAACAAGTCAGTTGAACAATATTTGCTTATTTGCTTAAAGCAAATGTTGTACATTCCCTTTAAAAAACCCTCAAATTTTACCGAGCTCATCTGCAAGTTTGGGTTTGAAAAAATAAAAAGGATAAATGGATTTGGTTCACATCGAAATAAATGCATCCAATACTATTCTTGTTTGATTTCCAACCTGCAAACATGCAAGTAATTATTTTTTTCCCCTGCATTCACAGTGACATCATCACTGGTATCCATGGAAATCCTCAAGGCAGCCATCGATGAGTGTAACGAGGGGGAGGAGCAGGAAAATGAGAGGGCGTTTGCCGTCATTGACGCTTTCACTGTCCCCAGATTCACCTACAATCAGGATAGGAAGAAGTTCCTCAAGTAAATGAACGAGACAAAACTAAAAATATAAAAACTGGTTGAACAAAACAAAACAAATGCAATCAATTTTGATATGTCTCATAAAAAGAAATTTTAAGAATCACTTTGACTCAAAGTGTCAATTTTTTTGTGTACAAGTTTTTCAAAATGGTTACGTCTCGATAGTCTGAAGTGCTATTGGTCCGACGTCCCATTGGCCCGACGTCCCATTGGTCCAACGAAAAATAATGCTTTGTAGTTCCACTTGTTCAGGTTGACTGACCTTAACCCTAATCCTATATGCGTCGGACCAATGGGACTTCGGACCAATGGGACGTTTATACCAATGGAACGTACATGTATAGAGCAATGGGCCGTCGGACCAATGGGACGTCGGACCTATGGGACGTCGGACCTATGGGACGTCGGACCTATGGGACGTCGGACCAATGGGACTTCGGACTATACAAGTAGAGACGTCCCCTTTCAGAATAGGGTAGTTTACATGACGTCTAGTCCTGGAGTCCTGCAAATTTGTTTTGGATACAGTTGTAACTTTAGTGTGGAAAACTTGATATACATGCAAACAATTTGCTATATTTCTGGGGTCTGTTGGGTAACTAACAGAAAACACAGCATTTTTTTCCATTTTGGCCAAAGTCCTTTGAGGACTCTGATAACATTTGAAGTTTGAAGGCAAGAATAATTTCGCAGTTTTACCGCCACGCATTACGCTTCAAGATCTTTTAAATAACCACCCTCAAACTTGAAATCCCTCATCCCTGATGACAGGCAGAGCATGCTGTCCGAAACATTGCGTTTCTTCCGGTTCTTTTCAGAACCTCCCTACTAACTCGATGCAACTGCAAACTTACCGTTCCTTGTTTTGAAATCTCTGTTTATCATTTAGCTCAGTGCAATTTGTATGTTGATTGAAAAAGTTGATTTTTTTTCTTCATATTTTCTGAAGGAACAACTCGGTACCCTGCTTGCACGCTGGTGCCCAGGCTAAAGCTGACCTGTTCCTGGAGCGTTACACACTCCTACAGCAGCGGACAGCAAGACATAGTCTCTTTACTCCACCGGTGCCCGGCACAGCCACAGATAACAACGCAAGGAAATTTCAGGTGATCATTGATTCAAACTGGTTTAAAACTGGTTTAGGGGCCTGGTCACCAGTTAAACCCCTTGCCTTCGGCTCAGGCCATCATCAGCGGCAGGGCCCCAACCGGTTTTAAACTTCACATTTCTAAATGCTCCAACACGCTTTTGTCCCAATTCATAAGCTCTATAAAAGTTGAAAAGTAAGTTGACCTACCTTTTTAATCCATTATACGCGACGTATAGAATTTGCACTGTGGAGACGTATACAATCTTTTGTTGCCTATTATACACATGTCTCCACAGGGTATCATGTATCAGAGAAGGGTCTTGCGATAAACACTACCACTGGTTATACCATTTAAACACCCGCAGTGTTAAAGGGTAGGGTAGATTTGTTATTTGTGCATTGTTTTCGTTTGAAGCAACAAAAGTGCTCAAAATCTAAAGACGGGTGCTTTATGACTAACCTGATTTAGTTTTAGCCTGGTGAGTGCTGTAGATTCCGCAAAAACAATATTCTAGGATCTCAATTTCAATTCAAAAGTTGCAGAGTCATGTTTGAATTGCGCCCGAAATCAGCATCTGGGACATGTTCTCATTCAGATGATTGCAGCTACGCGATGTCACACAATAATGACGAATAATACATGTAGCGTGCGCGTGTGTGTCGTGTCAATGCTTGCGTGTTACCCAAACTAGCTGTTCACAGAAAGTTCTAAAAAATGCATTACTTGACGTATCCTTGGAAATGGCCTTCTTTTGTTGTTTTCTTCAAAATGACAGCATGCCAGAAAGAATAATTTCACAGGGAGTTTATTGCCATTACTATCTTTAAACCAAGTAAGCTTTTCAACCATAATTTTGTCAGTTACTTTCCGGACAGCTGCAAATGATCTCCTCTACCTTTTAAACAGCAGTGATGGGCTCTTGACCAATTGTAATAGGAAAACTGTCCCACGTACTTGCCCCAGACAAATCTTTAAGTTGGCTCTTCTATCAAAATGTTTGAATCCATTTTTTTGTTTGTTTTTTTGATATTAGCTGAAACCTGTGGAGTTCCTGCTAGGCAGCACTGCCAAGCTTGGAGAAATCATCGTGCTGGGTATGCTTACCCAACTCAAAGAGGTAAATATTTTCTTTAGACATCATGCACAGGATATAGCAATGCTTCACGCTTTTTTCCAACAAAAAGGAGCTTATTTTATGCTAACAGAGAAAGTGAGGAGGGAATGATGTTATAAGCATAATGAATATTGTTGGATAAGGGTCATTGTCATAATTATTTCCTGTCCCTGTTACCTTGGTACTTTGTAATTGGCCATTCAAGTATCATTAAAAATGACTTCAAATGATTTTGTATTTGTTGGATAGGTAGTTTGCTATTCATAATCACTCTTGGAGGATGACTGCATTGAGGAGTGCATCAGAATTAGAAAATCATAGATGTCAGATGTAACAGGGACAGGAACAAAAGTGGACCCAGACTTATAGAATGACCACACAAGCAAAAAATTGGCACTTGTCTCACTGTACAAATTATATGCTGTCTGTCAGTGTGTATAAACAGACGTTTACATTTTTTCTCATGAAGAAATTTGAGTAGAGAAAGATGTGCGCCACCAACAAATGCTTTTCTGTTATTACTGTATATATTCTACTTGGGCCCAATTTCATGGCGCTGCTAAGCTCACGATTTTCTGCTAACAGAGCCTCCGTCTATTTCATGGAGACTGTAAGCAGTAAGCGCAGCAGGAGGCACGCTTACTTCAGAGGAAAAATTTGCTCAATTTATTAGTGACGTCACAATAGAGATCTCCATGCACGCGCAACCGTTAGCACATCCTCGCCGTGACTAGTGCTTAAGGTTAGCCAATTCTTCTGCTTTGCTAATCACAACTTTTCTGCTAACTGTTAAGCAGCGCCGTGAACTTGGGCCCTGGTAGGGAGCCAGAGAACATGTTGAATATTGTCAAATAAGTTCCCCCCCCCCAAAAAAAGTTGAGCCCTCCGAATTAGTAAACTATTCTTTTTACTGATGCAAAAGAGAATCAGTTTGAAACCAGAGACATAGACATTTTTCATAATCTATGTCTTTAATCAGAAACTTGGCCGTAAATGCAGTCAAACTGTTATTTGTTTTTATCAATTCTTATTCCTTTTAATTTGCAGGGCAAGTTTTTCCTGGAAGATCCTACCGGAGCTGTTCAACTTGACCTCAGCAAAGCAATATCCTTTGAAACTAAAATCAAAATCAAGCAAAAACCTGGAAACATGTTTAAGACCAGCCAGCCATGTCTTTATTAACCGTTTAGAACTGGCCACGTGACGGGGCTCTCGACCAATAGGAATGGATAAACTGTCTTAGGTATTTATGAATGCAGTTTAAAATCTTCATCAAACACTTGCTAGTTTATGTTATAACACCTCACCCACAGATTCTGTATCTTGATTGGCTGAGAACGAGTCACATGGCATTGGCTATTTTTGCTGTCTTGCTGTGCACGACCAAAAGTACTATACCCGTAGTAACCAAGGTATTTATACCCGTAGCAACCAAAGTACTATACGCATTGTGTGCAAATGCGTGCGGGTGCATGTGTTGCGCGTATTGTTCCCAAGCGCTACCACTACAGAGCTGGGTTCAAACTTTTGTGAAGGGCCCGGTAGTTTGAAAAAGTGCAAGTTAATTTTCAACTAATTTCGTATACAAATAGAAGTAAAGTTTAATTGTATTCAGATTAAATCAATCAGTTATCACTTAAAATCAAGCAGAATCTGTGGGAGAGGTGTTATATAACAAATATTGACTGCTTTATCTCGTGGTGTAGTGAAACTAGCCTCCCTCGGTGATCCATGGACCATTCTATTTTCCCTCGGCTTCGCCTCGGGACAAATAGAATGTCCATGGATCACCTTGGGAGGCTAGTTTCACTACACCACGAGATAAAGCAGTCTATTTGTATACTAGTTAGACTAGCTGATTATTCAGGGACCCTCGTATTGAGGTTGTGTACAGTGCTGGTTGTCAGTAGCTGCATGTATTTCCATATGCAACATGGAGCTAACAATATTTGTTCAAAGTAAGACGATAGTGATCTTTAATATTGCAAATTGTAAGTCAGGAATCAACAACTAGTTGATATAATTTACATATCACCGTTTGCGAGTTAGCCACGCCCCTTAGACAACCGTATGGAATTTTGTACGTTAACTTTTGTTTGTCTCATATTTTATGTGTTCCGTGTCCATTTGTAGATCACGTAATTGGACAATATTTCACGAGCTGTGTTGACGCGATAGGTCAATTGTCAGTATGATCAAACAGTCCCTCTGTTGCCACTGTCTGTAGTTAATATTCCTTAACCATCCTTGCACCAGTTCCACACTGGACTGTTCACCGAGAACTGCTTTGTCCTAGCGGAGGGCTGGTATGAAGACCAAGTCTTCCACATCACAGCGTTTGGATTCCCACCCTCTGAACCTGCAGAGGCCACCAGGTACGTACTTAAATAATGGCACGCTCTTGGCGTTAGGCTTGTGCGTAATTGGATTTTGAATGCGCATGGGAGCTGTCACAAAAATGTTGCGGTATTCGGTTTTATCAGGTATTTTTCTTGGTGGATTATTGTGTCATCAAAATGTTAGGGAAACTGCAAACAGGCAGCATGGGCAGAACTGCATAGGCCCTGCTGGATGACGAGTAAGCACGATTTTCACCTTATCCGCTCTGTTCACAAGTACCCCCTCACCGGCAAAGAAAGTACAGTTGGGGGTGACCGACCGTGCCATCTTGCCTGACTGCAATTTTGCCACGGCGCGCGGCCTTCACTAGCACTGCGTGTACATAGTACTGAATGCCCTGGTGTACATGCATCACACACAAGGAACGGTGCCATCAACCAGCGAAATGTCCCGCCCATGGGACGTCGTTGCTAGGTAAAAGGCCGCCCTCTTTTGTTGGCGCACAGAGCCCATATACCTGACCACAAGGAATTGAAACAATTATCAATATAGTGCAGATATGGCCAAGTTGTTTTATTTGGACCTTAATTTTAGAGGGCTTTTCCACTTCTTGCCACATTTGATAAGGAAAACATGGTAATGGAATTCCATACCAAGATCATCGGTATTTTGACAACATTCAGTATTGCTCCATATAAAAAAAAAATATTGTAACTATACACTAGTATTGAAATATAGTCCAAGTCTACTTGGTGTGAATCACAATTTTCGTGAAAAGAAAGGATGCACTTGCAAAGGACAGACTCTTTGGCATTGTCACTATGTAGCTTGAGAAGGCCGTATCCGAGTTATTAGACTATGGTTTGCAGTAACACATAATGTCTGTGGGAAGTTTCTTAAGCAAGTTCCGTAGGCACATGTGAGATTGCAAGCAATAGTCAAGTAAATTGGACGCAGCCTTAAGTGGATGTAACGTACCAGAGCAGCCACTTGCAGCCTAACGAGGTGAAAGTCCCATTTGGGAGTCTTGTCATGGTTTATTTGCTGTCTTACTTTCCGTCATTAGGAAGAAATCAAGAAATGCAGGTGATTTCCGACGATCTGTCATTTGACTGATTTTTGAAAACACGGTGTGCCATATGGACAAAATCGTGTTTCATGATTAAAAGGTTGTGCGTGGTTTGCACTGTTTTTGCAAAAACTGCAATATCCACTGAGCTGAAAGTTTAACAGGTTTGGTTACAACATTCTTCTCTGGACTTTGAGTGGTGTTATTATTGGAAACGAAGTTAACGAACAAAATGCATAAAAAGCAAATGATCCTATCATGCCTTTAATTTTTTTATATTAGAGCCTACTTTGGCAGTTTGAACTTCTTTGGCGGTCCGTCCCCGACTTGTGCTAAGTCCTCAGAGAAACTCCTGACGATAGAGAAAGACAACGAAGAGGCCATGTTTGTCTTTGTGTCGGACATTTGGCTGGACCAGCTCCGGGTCCGAGAGAAACTCAACACGCTCTTCACCGGCTACTCCGAGATGCCTCCGACGTGCTTTGTCTTCTGTGGCAACTTCACCTCCAAGCCTTATGGCAGCAATCACGTCAAGACTCTACGAGGTACCGAACCAAATCTGCACATTGTCAGTTTGCCATTTCCCTCATATCTGAACGTTGAATGTTTTTTAACTTTTTGTTCTCGTGGAAGTGGTCAATTGTGTAATAGAAGGGATTCACAATATTAAGCCACACATTAATTTGTGACACCTTTTCCTGTATGTGTACACAATAATACACAGGAAGAGAAAGAATGCAGTTGAACCGAAACTGGTTTGGTGGTTTTTGGTTGGTTTAGTGTTTGGCAACTTCAGTTGTTAAGTAATCATATGTGAATTACGTACGGCACTACCCAATTGCAAGTTGCCAAAACCCTACACAAATGAGAAACAACTGGACCCAGTAATGGGTTAACAGAGATGCCAACCATTACTCTTTTGGAGTAATTAGTAGGATTTTGAGGCATGTTACTACTCTTGAAAATTCCAGCTGTCCTATATGCCAACATTGTGGTTACTCTTAAACTTAAACTTAAACTTGACTGTTGTCCTATGTATTTACATTAGCATTACTCTTTGCAGGAAGAATCATTACTGTTTTGTAGTCTGTAAAGTTGGCATCTCTGGGTTAAGACTGCCAAAACAAACCCCAAGATTTTCACATCCAGTGGCAGTGATTCTGTACTGAAAATTGCTCAAATTGAAAGCAACAGCATCATTTACACCGGAGTGACCAATCATAATGCGCTTCTAGCAAAGAATGCTAGAAATACACCAGCTTTCTTTTGAATTGTGCAGTTCAGCCTCTCTTACTTTACATAGGGATTTATGCCCCAGCTTCTTGACAAGTACATGTTCCAAACTCCCTAGGGGGTGTGCAAAATCATATTAAAATTGGAGGATTCAGGACTATTAGAGCTATTTCACTGCTCAGTGTTTAAACAGACTCAAGCTTAGAACTTTCTTTGACAAAAATGTCATGCTCAGAGGTTTAGGTTTAATGGACCAACCAAACCATTGCAAAAAAGGTTCTGGGACTCCAGCTACATTTTGGTGCCTGTAATGCTTCAGGAACATTCAATCGATTGATATGAAGCCAAACGTTAGAATATTTCCAATTGGTTTACTTCTCAGTGATTCAGAAGTCGGAGGCAAAGCCGAGGCTGAAGACGAAGCAAAGGTTTCGAAAACCCCTATGTTTAATATTGTTTTGTCTCTCTACATCAGAATCATTACAAGCTCTGAGTGACATGTTGCAAGAGTACCCCACCCTGCTTCAGAGAAGTCGGTTCATCTTTGTTCCTGGTCCTCAGGATCCTGGCCCGGCCGCCATTCTACCAAGGTAACACTGGCAACATTTACTGTTCAGAAAAATAACGTTTTCCCATGGGAAACTTTTATGCCGTGTTGTAGTCAAGACCTCACCAAAGCTTTTTCAGACCTCACTCATTTTCATATATTCCTTAAATTTCAGAACCAAAATAAGTCAAATAACTATGCTGCAGAGTCTCATTATTTGATGAAAGACTGCTGAGGTATAAGTTTTGAGATCAACATTCAAGCTGAAATAAAAATGCCTTATTGACAGTCAAAATCTGTCCAAGACCTTTTGAGACCTTTTCAAGATCAATTTTCCCATACAATTTTTATTTAAATTTCTACAGTTACATGAAAACAATCCTTAAGTATGTTCAAAGTCAAGGCACCGAGAGTCTTTCCTCAGTCACATTAGACTCGACTCGATTCTGACATTCCATTATATTAGCAATTTGTGTGAGGTGTCGGAAAGGTCTCAATCTACATCAGTAGTTTGACATTTCATCACTGGACATTATGCCTCTGCATTATAATTGAGTCATTTTTAGAGTCTGTTGACTGGTTGAGAGAATGTCACATGGTATCCATTATATTTATAATGGTAGACACTGTGCAAGAACAGTATTGGCACTTTGTAACCACTTCTCAGAGTGGGAGGGGCACATTGCATGCATACTGGTTCGCGTGTGTGGCACAAAGTACGCAAGTCTTAAATCTATTACCACTGCCAAGGAGGTTATGTTTTCATTGGCGTTAGTTTGTCGGTTGGTTGGTTGGTTTGTCTGTTAACAAGATAGCTAGTTAACCATAAAAAGTTATGGACGGATTTTCTTGAAATTATTTTAAGAGGTGGTCCTTGGTACAAAGTACAAATCCATTAGATTTTGGAAGTCATCTGGGTCTGGGAGATAGGGTCAGAGTCCACAATTTTGCTTTTTGCCTTTATGCCAGGATGATCATGCCTCACTTTACTGGCTTATACCCATAACTGCACAGCAGCCTCTGTCTGTCTGGCATAGCAGCACTAAAATTCAGAATATGAGCAATCCTGTTGACAGTTTGAATGTGCAATAAAATATGGGAGTCCAGTGGATGTGTGAGTATTTCATTTGAGTGTACGGACAATATGGCGGGGAATTGTTCAGTCTTGGGGGAGGTTTGCGCTCTCTGAGTGCTTTCTAGTTCTGAATGTGCAGATACCCATAGCTCAGCTTTGCATGAGTGTCAGGTTCCGTCGGTAATGCTTTCAAGTGCCCCTCCCAGTGGTGTCCCCCAACTCTCCCTTTGTAACCGTTGAGGGGGTACTTGTGCAAGGAGTCCATGCGTTGTTACCTTCTACTACTTGTCTGTTATACAGCTGAAAGGTGTTATCTCCAAACCAACTAAAGTACTTTCCATTTGCATGTCTTACTCATCAGGCCTCCCATACCAGACGTAATCACGGAAGAGTTTTGTCGGAGGGTTCCTTCTGCGATATTCACAACCAACCCCTGCAGGTAGGGAAAGATAAAACAAAGTGCATGCAGATAGATTCATTGTAAGGACTTGTTGCGAAATGTAAGAAAAATGTTTTAAATTGTAACAGTCTATCCAAGGTTGCACTTAGCTCGCGAGACAAACTACACAAGCTAACTGTGGTGGGACCAGAACTGGAGACCTCATGTTTACCGTAATTTTCGGAATATAAGCCGCGCGGCGTATAAGCCGCAGCACGCAAAAATCTGCAAATTAAGATTTGAAGTCAGCGTATAAGACGCACCGGCGTATAAGCCGCACCGACAGCAGCGGTTTCAATTTTGTAAGGCCTCCAAATTCTAGCCAAAATGCTCTGAACCAGTTCCAATTACACTACAGAAGCTATAAAAAGGGCCACAAAAGTTGTATCAAATCATTTACAATCGATACTCTCACAAACAAATGTGGAAATTGATGATGAGAAATAATCACCGGGAATTGCTGCCGGCTGCCCCGTCCGTTCCCCGGCCGTACATCGCCCGGCGCGGGCCGGCCTAGGACAACATTTTCCTGCAGCACGTGAGAGAGTATGCAACCCACCGTGATTTTCCCCCATTGCGTGTGTTGTCTGACTGGAGCGCTACGTACAAATCTTGCTTTGTGGCAACAGATGCTGATTTGTTTTGTCCTAAAAATATACAGGTCCGTTTTTATCTCAAAACTTATCAAATTGTTGTGATTACTAACGAGCAGTATTCAAGTTTCGATCGTAACTTTCTTCGAAATCGTCAAAACGATGCTGCCATTTTCATGGACGAATCCATTAATTTTGTAAGGGGTGATGTAGTCCCTGTTTTGAGGTTTACATCGTTTCTTGAATACATTTCAAGTACAAAAATTATATTGTGAAGTTGAACAACTGATTATCGACTAAAGAAATGTTTCGGAACCACCATAAAAAGTATGAGTCGCCTTTTTTCTTTTTTTAAACAGCGGAAATGTTGGTAATTATTGTTTCTAAGATAGTACACCCCTATATTACCTCAAATGGTGTGGTCCGCTGGGGAAAGCCAGCACTAGAATCACGTACGGCTTGTTGCAAGCGTCTATCGAAGACAGCTTTCACCATACTTTTTACCGCTCGGTACCTTTACGTGGCACGTGGTTTCGGTTCGTTAATGACTTTCTTAATTGATAATTCATTTCAGCAACACATCTCTTCTTATACCAGTACATTAATTACACATGTGAATTTCCTTTTTATTCTTCAAGGCTCGGCGTATAAGCCGCCCTGTGTATAAGCCGCAGTAAACATTTTCATGGGCAAAATCACATCTACACCACTATAAAACCACTATAAAACCACAAAGCTCGGAAAGGCAAGCTGGTCAGTTACATTTTGTAAATCTAATGAAGTAGTGGGTATGAGTTGTGTCAAGTGGTAAGATGTCTGCACTTGTCAGTATGAGATTATGGCTTTAAGTCCCATCCCAGAAAGTGTGTGAAAGTTTTCTCACACTTTTTTTCTTACATGCTTGTAATATTCAGTGAATGACAAAACCCAATTGTAAAATTGCAATGAACATGACACAAAATCTCTCGAGAGGCAGGCAGTTGCAGCAATGAATCATTTTTGTGTGTGTTGAAAACTGTTAGTTTACGACAAACTGCTCGAAATGGGCACGGAAGACACATTAATTTACATTTGCATTAATGAATTAGTGCCCAAATTTGAAACATTTTGTGCAACTCTGTGCGATTTTTTATGCTCATGGTGAAAACTGTAAACACCAGTGAAAAGTCTAAGAGTGAATTACAACGATAGAGTTATATTACAAAAACTAGAGAGCGCACTCCGTATGCTAAGTGCACATGCGAACGTGCCGACATGGACGCGCTGCTGCCATACTTTAGGTGGAACAATGGATCGATCAAGATTGGTCATAAGCCCCGCCAACCTTAGCAACTGCTTGAGAACGTAATACGCTCGGTCAAAGTGAACAAACTGCACAAATGCACTCAGTCACTGCGTGCAAGATGTAACGTACGTCACAGTACTAACGTACGAACGCATGTACGCGCGCACTTGGAAATCAATTCAAAATGGGTCCATTGTTCCACCTAAAGTATGGCGGCTACGTCAGAATGTCAGAATGAGTGCGTGCAGTGAGTGCGCTCTCTAGTTTTTAAAATATAACCCTATGATTACAACTTATATTTTACTGTCGTTTTCTACTATCGCTGTTATTGCTCTGTCATCAGGATGCAGTATTGCACGCAGGAGATAGTTGTGTTTCGAGAGGATATAGTCATGAAGATGTGTCGTAACTGCATCCGTTTCCCAGACAACAGTGCTGAAATTCCCAATCACGTGAGTGCATACAAATACAAATATTTAATGTAACTTGAAATCATACCTGTAGGGCAGTAAGGCAAAAAAAAAAATAGTTCTGCTTCCGGTTTCCCTACCTACCCTTCTCTGACAGCCCCTACCCTAATTTTGTTAATGGGAAAAATGAGAAAAACACCCAAACCGATAAATTTCTACCTTTTACCCTTGACTACACGCAGGCACCTCCATATGATCGTAAAAAAAAAATTGGCCACAAAAAAAATTTCCCTACCTACCTACCCTATTTTCAAATGCCATGTAATCGGAAGCAGAACAAGTTTTTTTGGGTGTTGTGGGTTGTTGTGGGTTCGAGTCCAACTCAAGTAAGATTGTGATTTTTCTCCCAAGTTCTTGGACGTATATAACATTTTAAATAAAAATCAAAATGAATTTTAAATTTAAACTTCAAATATCGTAAAGTAAGATTCCATTAAAAAAGTCAGAAACAATGGCAGGCCTTCTATGGGGCTTTCCTTAAAAAAATAGGAAAATTGTCTTATTTTCACGGCTTCTTGTCTCTTTGCAAGTAGGTGAAGTAATAGTTGCTATGAGTATAGAACTTTTCAAGTTGGGAAGTGAAAATAGTGAAAATTGTGAGATTCTGGTGTAAAACAAAAATAAATGACATGACACGCTCTCTGTCAATCAAGACACAGAGTCTACTTAAATAGGTGGGTTTATTCTAACCTAATTTTATCCATCTTTTTTTTATTTAGTTTGTCAAGACAGTAGTGTGCCAGTCCCACCTGTGTCCCCTACCCCTCCACGCCTCCCCTATCTACTGGGCCTACGATAACGCCATGAGGCTCTACCCCTTACCTGATCTGGTCGTATTCGGTGACAAGTACGACCCCTTCACCATCAATAATGCAAACTGCAAGTGCACAAATACGGTAAGACTGTCTGTGCAAGTCCATCATGATTGAATGTCTTATTTCTCAGGTTTGCAGCATTGTTTATTTTGCTAACATTTTGACTTTGGGCGTGATCCCTGGTTACACGTGCTATAAGGGTTTTATGACTTCTGAGTAGTTCCGTTGAACGATATATTGACCAAAAAAAGGGGAGCCTCATAAATCTCAAAAATGTATTGTTAGGCCAAAAAAAAATAAGTCGGTCTCTGGTCAGCGCGCGCGTCGATTTTAATCATGCGCGTCGATCTTTTTTTTCTCCAAAATGTTCCGCGGTAGCTCCAACAGTGCCCTCTATTTCCGCACCTCCTCATTTTTTTTTTTACAAAAGAGCACCAAGGAATGGGAAATTGCACCAAGGCAAATGATCGAAAGCACCAAGGCAAATTATGGAGGACACCAATGTACATGAGGACACCAACAAAGCAAAATAGTACCCACCTTGTCTGTACAGTCCAAGCTTGAAGAAAAAAAAAAAAAGCAAAAAAAAAAAAAAAAAGCCGCGTGGCCGCGTCAATTCCGGAACTTTGGTCTGACCAGAGACCGAATATTTTTTTTGTTTGGCCTTACTAGAGGTAATGTTTTTTTCAGTAATACATTCTAATGAATTTACTCTTGATGTAGAAAACAGAAAATTTCTGCCCCAACAGACTCATCATGTTTATTGTGTGTGTCGGCCGTTTTTGAAAAAAAAAGAGCTAAGGACACAGGAAGACCCTTCACCTTTGTTGCTAACGTTCACCAACGTCGGTGGCAAACAAGCGGTCCCACTTGCAGGAATGTTGCCAAAGCTGGCAAATGTTAGCAATGGTTGCCTAAAGTGGAACGCACTCCGGTATTCAGTGTGTCTTGTTTTTGTCTCCAGGGATCATTTTCCAAGAGCGGTTTTGGCTTCAAGGTTTACTACCCACAGACCAAAGAGATTGAGGACAGGTAATTTCATAAAATCATTTCTTTTATTTTTGTTTTGTGGTTCAGATTTTAAGCAATGAAGTAATCACAAGTCAATCACAAGACCTTCTGTGTCAACTCGACCGGCTTATCAACTTTGATCATAAGGCATTCCTTTGACTATGTTCATCCTCTATGACTTGTGATTGACTTGTGATTGACTTGTGATTGACTCAGTTACAACTCTGCCTTGTTCTTTTGCATTTTGATGATCCACAAATTATTTATTTGCAGACACTAAAGTCAGGCATGCAACTTTTCCTCGGATCAGCTGATTTCCTCTTTTTTGACCTCCCCTGTGTGTCATTGAAAATAGAAAAACACTGTACAAAGTCTTGGAAAGATTTGAATTTCCTCTTTTTTTTATGACTTTCCAGTTGCATGCCTGTAAAGTAATGTGGCACATTTTGGATTGGGAAAAGTCAAAGAGAAGATTTCTGCAAAATCCATATCATATCTAGAGGTAAACATCAAAAGTGTATTGTTCGGCCTACTGACAGCTGCCCTTTGAGTGGAATGTGTACGTGCAGGCATTCGGCCGTTGTCTATGAATGAATGCGGCTATGCAGCAGGAATGCGGCGATAGCAGTCCCCCGGCTTATCAGCTTTCATCGAGCTGCGTCTTTAGCCGTCACCCGGCGTCAAAGGGTTGATGGAGTAGCATAATCCCTTGATAAGTCTGAGAACGTTCTAGCCAATCTTAATAACATGAAACTTGTTAGTGGTGAGAGTCAAAACCCTTACACCCTTAACTTTCCAAATTTGTCCCATTGAATTTTAAATGCTAATTTCCACGCTGTTTGCATTTGTTTTTCAGCAAAATTGAGGACGAATGAAAGGCAGCATCACGTGGGCCAGCGTCTCCTTTTCATCAAACTGGACTTTATCATCGCAACCGCATGTACGTGGCAATGATTCAAAGCTGGATGGCAACTAGAAGTTGGCAGATACTTTTGCCAAATTATTAACATGTGACTCATGAGTCATACCATACATGTTTCGTTCTCTTGGATGACTAATAATGCTACCAATTTGTTAAACCCAAGGCTGTTAAGTAAGCCCCACAGAGGTTTGTAAAAGTACCAATACACAGTGACTTATGCAAAAAGGTGCTCAAAATTGGTGTGGTTTTCTTGTCTACAGATAGGCTACGCAGTACTTAAAGGGAATATACAACATTTGCTTTTGCTGTACTTTTCAGAATGGATGGATTTGGGGGTTAGTATTTTATAGCAAATATTGTTACACTGACCTGTTTCAGCTTTTAGGTTCGTAGATGCTGGCAAAACCAAGAAAAACAATGATGTTCTTGTAGTCTGGTTCCCTGACCCCAGATGAAACAGAACAATTTGTATACGTCAGGGAATTGTAAGGTCAGGGAACCAGTCTAGCTGGTTTGTACCTGTTCATACATGTAGGTGTGTAATCAATAACTAACAAAATGCGGACTAACTAAGTATGGTAAATTGTGGACAGTATTTGAAAAAAGCCAGTTTTTTTCCAACACTGGTCGACTGACCAGCATTGAAAATTGATACAAAAAATACCACTTTCCTTGAAAATGACAGCACACCAGGAGCCATGATTTTACAGGATGCTTTAGATTGTCATTCATCAACAGTCCAGTAAGGGATTTATTTCATAATAATTTGGTAGTTTTGTTTTTTTGTTTGTTTGCAAATGTTGTATATTCCCTTTGAACATGTTTTACAATATCCAAGTACAAATGAGTATTGTACATCCAGCACCCAATTTCTCGAGACAGTGTGTGTTAAAGTTACTAATTTGGAAATGCATTGAACTTGTAATGAATTAGCCTGGAATATTGCAGCTGGAGTTTCAAAGTAGCTATGCAGTCCACAACGAGCTTGTTTTCCTTTAAAACTGCATCGCCCGTCAGCCATTTTGTTTTACGTTGTAATTACTTTTTGAGAGATCTGACGACTCTTTGTTGAATATCAGACAACTATTAACTGTACGCTGAATAAATAAACAGTAATCGTGTTGTGCTATAAATACACTACGATAAGTGTGACGCATTTTGTGAAATGAACCGCAGGACACGTCGCCGCTGCGATGCATCGTAGGGATACGTGTCGCAGCACTGCGATGCATCGTAAGTTACGATGAGTTTCGTGAAATCGGGTGCAGGAAGTGTAACATTTTTAACATTCTGATGAAAGTCATTTGTGAGTGTTACTTATGTGTCAAAAAGAATTTGGGTTACAGCAACCGAGAATACAACCATCAGTGTGTAGAACAGTTTATTAAATGGCTATAAGGGTGATTGTTCAGTAAAAAAGACGTTAAAATATGCCTGTACATGTATGTATGCTGTATTATTTTAGGATTAAATAAAGTTGGTGCCCTTCTACATCAGTTTTTGCATTTGATATTTATTACAAGTACTCTGAAAAAAATTGGTTAGTTTTTGTGTCCACACCACCAAGTTTCAACGTGAGGCTGATTATCTCAGGACTACATTTTGTTTTTAAAATTCTGTGAACATTCTGTTCTCCGAACACTCTTCTTTTTCACCCAACTTAGCTACCTGTTGACAGCAGATTATTAACACCTTTTTTGTTTTCAGTAATGAATAACAATGTTGAAAGCTGTTTTGAGAATTTTGAGGCTATGTTTTTTTGTAATGCAATCAATGTTACTTAAGTTTTTTTTGTATTATTATTAATGAAAGTCTCTACCCTATATAATAAAAAACATGTACATAAAACTCTCAAAATGCTTTATTTTGTGAGTGTCCGTGAATGTTATTTTAATCCTGATTTAACGAATTCCTGTAATTTCAAAGGATAAGGAAAAGTACATGTATGGAAAGGTGCTTCAATCTCCCGTTTCCTCTCCCTACACAACAGTGGCGTAGCCAAGGGGGGCGTGGGGGAGACAGCCCCCATTAAACCTCGTTGTCCCCCCAGTCGCCCCCACTGAGATTTTGAGTTTCTAAAAAAAATTATCATTGATCTACATGATGCCCCCCCAAGGAAATGTTCCAGCCCACCCAGCGCCCCCCCCCCCCCCCCCCCCCCACTGAAAAATTCCTGGCTACGCCACTGCTACACAAGAATCCTTAAGTTTCAAATTTAATGAGTATTTAGAATGCTCGCCATACCCTACGGGCTCTTTGCATGGCTGGGTAAATTGGAAAAAAAAATGGGCCACACAAGCAAGATTCCGCCGTTGATTGTGATATCTATTGTGGTGCCTCATTATTTTTAAGCAGTGCTAGAATTTAGGGGGGGGGGGGGGGAGGGGCCGGAGTCCCACTTCCACCAAATTGGACCCAAGTTACGCCATGTTTTTATACATTATTGCTATTGGGAATTTTTTTTAAATTTTATACAGGGCGGATCAAAAAACACGAAAACGAAATAACATTGCTTTAAAATATCGCTTTAAAATGACACCCTGATCATGTCTTTACATTCACAGTTGACTGAGCAGCGAATCTTTTTTACCCACCTGCCTTGATTGGCAACCACAACCTTTCACTCTGTGACAAATGACACCACAAAAACCACAATTGAAAAGTGGCGCAAGGTTAACCCGTAACAATCTGCAATTTTCCAGAAACATCTGATTTTGCCTAATTTTGATCAAAATGCAAGGTTAACCCCTTACAATCTGACATTTTCCAGAAACATCTGATTTTGCCTAATTTTGCTCAAAATGCAAGGTTAACCCCTTACAATTTGAAATTTTTCATAAACATTTAATTTTGCTCAATTTTACTAAAAAAGCAAGGTTAATCCCTTACATCTGGAATTTTTCAGAAACATCTGATTTTGCCCAATTTTAGTAAAATATGCATCAAATTTTGCAAAAAAAGCAAGGTTAACTAACCCCTTACAATTTTAGATTTTTCATAAAAATCTGATTTTGCCCAATTTTGCTAAAAATGCAAGGTTAACCCCTTACAATTTGAAATTTTTCATAAAAATCTGATTTTGCCCAATTTTGCTAAAATTGCAAGGTTAACCCCTTACAACTTGAGATTTTTCAGAAAAATCTGATTTTGCCCAATTTTGCTAAAAATGCAAGGTTAACCCCTTACAATTTGAAATTTTTCATACCAATCTGATTTTGCCCAATTTTGCTAAAAATGCAAGGTTAACCCCTTACAATCTGAAACTTTCCATAAACATCTGATTTTGCCTTATTTTGCTGAAAAATGCAAGGTTAATCCCTTACAATTTGAACTTTCTCATAAACATTTAATTTTGCCCAATTTTACTCAAAAAGCAAGGTTAACCCCTTACATCTGGAATTTTTCAGCAACGTCTGATTTTGCCCAATTTTGCTAAAAATGCAAGGTTAACCCCTTTATACAATTTGAAATTTTTCATAAAAATCTGATTTTGCCCAATTTTGCTAAAATTGCAAGGTTAACCCCTTACAACTTGAGATTTTTCAGAAAAATCTGATTTTGCCCAATTTTTGCTAAAAATGCAAGGTTAACCCCTTACAATTTGAAATTTTTCATACCAATCTGATTTTGCCCAATTTTGCTAAAAATGCAAGGTTAACCCCTTACAATCTGAAACTTTCCATAAACATCTGATTTTGCCTTATTTTGCTGAAAAATGCAAGGTTAATCCCTTACAATTTGAATTTTCTCATAAACATTTAATTTTGCCCAATTTTACTCAAAAAGCAAGGTTAACCCCTTACATCTGGAATTTTTCAGCAACGTCTGATTTTGCCCAATTTTGCTAAAAATGCAAGGTTAACCCCTTTATACAATTTGAAATTTTTCATAAAAATCTGATTTTGCCCAATTTTGCTAAAATTGCAAGGTTAACCCCTTACAATTTGAAATTTTTCATACAAATCTGATTTTGCCCAATTTTGCTAAAAATGCAAGGTTAACCCCTTACAATCTGAAACTTTCCATAAAAATCTGATTTTGCCTTATTTTGCTGAAAAATGCAAGGTTAATCCCTTACAATTTGAACTTTCTCATAAACATTTAATTTTGCCCAATTTTACTCAAAAAGCAAGGTTAACCCCTTACATCTGGAATTTTTCAGCAACGTCTGATTTTGCCCAATTTTGCTAAAAATGCAAGGTTAACCCCTTTATACAATTTGAAATTTTTCATAAAAATCTGATTTTGCCCAATTTTGCTAAAATTGCAAGGTTAACCCCTTACAATTTGAAATTTTTCATACAAATCTGATTTTGCCCAATTTTGCTAAAAATGCAAGGTTAACCCCTTACAATCTGAAACTTTCCATAAAAATCTGATTTTGCCTTATTTTGCTGAAAAATGCAAGGTTAATCCCTTACAATTTGAAATTTCTCATAAACATTTAATTTTGCCCAACTTTACTCAAAAAGCAAGGTTAACCCCTTACATCTGGAATTTTTCAGCAACGTCTGATTTTGCCCAATTTTGCTAAAAATGCAAGGTTAACCCCTTTATACAATTTGAAATTTTTCATAAAAATCTGATTTTGCCCAATTTTGCTAAAATTGCAAGGTTAACCCCTTACAATTTGAAATTTTTCATACAAATCTGATTTTGCCCAATTTTGCTAAAAATGCAAGGTTAACCCCTTACAATCTGAAACTTTCCATAAAAATCTGATTTTGCCTTATTTTGCTGAAAAATGCAAGGTTAATCCCTTACAATTTGAAATTTCTCATAAACATTTAATTTTGCCCAATTTTACTCAAAAAGCAAGGTTAACCCCTTACATCTGGAATTTTTCAGCAACGTCTGATTTTGCCCAATTTTGCTAAAAATGCAAGGTTAACCCCTTTATACAATTTGAAATGTTTCATAAAAATCTGATTTTGCCCAATTTTGCTAAAATTGCAAGGTTAACCCCTTACAATTTGAAATTTTTCATACCAATCTGATTTTGCCCAATTTTGCTAAAAATGCAAGGTTAACCCCTTACAATCTGAAACTTTCCATAAAAATCTGATTTTGCCTTATTTTGCTGAAAAATGCAAGGTTAATCCCTTACAATTTGAAATTTCTCATAAACATTAAATTTTGCCCAATTTTACTCAAAAAAGCAAGGTTAACCCCTTACATCTGGGATTTTTCAGAAACATCTGATTTTGCCCAATTTTGCTAAAATATGCAAGGTTAACCCCTTACAATTTGAGATTTCTCATAAAAATCTGATTCTGCCCAATGTTGCTAAAAATACAAGGTTAACCCCTTACAATTTTAGATTTTTCATAAAATCTGATTTTGCCCAATTTCATTACTAACACATTAGTGTAAAAGTTGGTATCTGAAATGTCCATGCGAAACCCCCTACACCCGGGGGGGGGGGGGATAGAAAATATCAGACGGTTATTTATTACTCCCCATCACGTTCAATTAACTTCAGCAGCGACCGCAAGCAACATTTGAAAGAAAAAGTTAAGACCGGATCAAGGTACCAACTTTTCCGACAACGCGCTGGTAATGCTGTTCTATTCAACAACAATATCTCGGTTTCATTTTTGGTTATCCGCCCTGTATAATAAAAGTTAAAGTTGTACCCGAAAGTATCAGTCAGTCAATTTTCAATTACACTTTCCCATCACACAATCAGGTGACACAGACTTTCCACATTCTTTTGCATAGATTCATTTTTTATTAAAATACTACTGATACATGATTCAAATAATTATTGGCCATTACTGAGTACTGCGTCGCTAAAGTTTTTAAAAATGGTGTTATGAAAATAGCAGTTGTACACAATACTAAAAATATGCCTCGGGGGTTCCCACAGAACTTTTAAAAAGTATAGTTAACTGGAATGCAAACTGGAAGACTACCATGGCCAAATATTCCGCATCATCACGTATGGGTTGTGCAGGATTCCATGACTTTTCCATAACTTGTTTCTTTGAATATCAACTTTCCATGACTCTTTGTAAAATAACAAAAATCCCACGTCTTTCCATGATGGCTTTAAATACCAGGATATTCCCACGACTGTGGCAACCCCACATGATTCAAATAATGAATAATTGGTCAATGTCGGAGTGCTGCATCAGTTGTTTAAAAATTGTTTTAAAAAGTGGTGTTCATGAAAATACCAGTTGTACAAAACACTAAAAATATACCTTGGGGTTCCCATAGACCTTTTAAAAAGTATAGTTTACTGGAATGCAAACTGGAAGACTGTCATAGCCAAATATTCCGCATAATCACATATGGGTTGTGCAGGATTCCATGACTTTTCCATGACTTGTTTCTTTGAATATCAACTTTCCATGACTCTTTGTAAAATAACAAAAATCCCATGACTTTCCATGCTAGCTTTAAATGCCAGGATATTCCCATGACTGTGGCAACCCTGCATGATTCAAATAATTAATAATTGGACAATGTTGGAGTACTGCATCAGGTGTATAAAATTGTTTGGAAAGATGTCCATATACGAAGTTCACTAATTTTCCTCTGTATTGACTAACAAGCCCCCAGATAGCAATTTCATGTCATCAAAGTCAATTTGAGCAGTGAGAAAATACAAGCATTTTCTTAGAAAACACTTAGAATTTTTCAGTCCAATCTCATAGGGTTTGTACACAGGGTGTTGAGTGAACTTCGTATATGGAAATCTTTCCAATTGTTTTAAAAAGTATACCTTGGGGTTTCCACAGAACTTTTAAAAATAAAAAAGTATAGTTAACTGGAATGCAAACTGGAAGACTGTAGCCAAATATCATGCATCATCACTCCTTGTAAAATCCCATGAATTTTCCAAAACAAAATCCCATGACTTTTCCAGGATTTTCCAGGATACTTCCATGACTGTGGGAACCCTGCATGATTCCAATAAAAATTGGTCAATGTCTGAGTACTGCATCAGTTGTTAATTTTTTTTTTATAAAAAAATGTTCATGTAAAAAATACCAGTTGTACAAAAATACGAAAAAAATACATGTTTTGTAAAAAGCGGTGCATGGATTGTAAAAGGGCAAAATTACCTTCTGGAAGAACTTTTGGTTTTATTAGAACTGCATGTTTACGCACTGAAGTCCGAAGTTCATAAGCGACATGTTCTCTTAATTATTTGTGAGGTGGAGATGAATTTAAAACCGGGTTTTGCCCTTCACTGACGTATTATATAAATACTGTTTACTCCACGTAATCGGAGTGCTTATTAGAAAAAACTCACAAGCTTATACTGGGGTAGTAATTGAACCCTGCCTACTAGTGCGGAACTCTTACCACTCTACCACCGAGCTTACCGGGGTGGGCTGGCTGGTTCGAATCAGATAAAAAAGCTGGCCACTAGTTTGCACTAGTGGGCAGGATGTATACAGTGTTTATAACATACGTCGGTGAATGGCAAAACCCAGAACAAATTAGCCCTGAATCACAATGAAATCACACTTTGTTTACGTGTGCGCTTTCCCATAGTATGTGGGTTGCGTGGAGACAAAAGCCCACATGTAAACAAGGTGTGACGTTGTGATTCAGGTCAATTTATGGCCCTTTCTGTCGACCACAAAAGTCAAAAGAAGTCTGTTTGACTGGTTTAATCTAAAATATTCAAAGCATCAAAGAAGCTGAGTAATCAAAGTCAACTGACATTTCGCGTTATAAGCACTGAGTACACTTTGAAAATCAGAGAGTATAATGTAAAAAGGTATAAAAAATTGGTTGAAAATCACTTATGAATGTAATTATAAAATCAGTACTAACTTGAAAAAAAGTTATGACAAACTTTAAAATCTGATTATTGGTACAGATGATAGGACCATTAAAAAGCTTCATGCATGCATATCAGAGGAATTCTAATCCTACATTAAAATCAATCGTAAAAAATCACTTGTATAGATGTAAAACTCTAAATTCCGGAAATCGTAGTCAGTACTGGTGCATCAAGTCAATCCACATAACATTCCTCCAATTCCAACACAGGATGGTCTGTTGGAGAGACGAGATAATAAATATGGGTGAGTAAAATGCTGCAAACCATTCACCACGATTGTATTATTCCTAACACAGAATTTTCCTGCATATCTCAAGGTGCTGTCTTGCTGCTTAAAGGGAAAATACAACATTTGCAAACATCAAAAACCAAAACTACCAACTTATGAAAACTTTACTGGACAATTAGTGAATGACAGTCTAAAGCATCCCGTAAAATCATGGCACCTGGTGTGCTGACATTTTCAAGAAAAGTGGTATTTTTGTATCAATTTCCAATGCTGGTCGGCTGACCAGCGTTGGAAAATAGTGGCTTTTTTTCAAATACTGCCCCCAATTTACCATAGTAAGTCTGAATTTTGTTTGCAATCGATTACACATCTATGAACTAGTACAAGCCAGCTAGACTGGTTCACTGACCTTACAATTCCCCGACGTCTATAAATTGCTCTATTTCAATTTAAGTGGGGTCAGGAAACCTGACTACCAGAACATGATTGTTTTTCTTGGTTTGTCCAGCATCTACGAACACAAAACTTCAAACAAGTCAGTGTAACAATATTTGCTATAAAATACTAATCCCCCAAATCCATCAATGTCTGAAAAAATACAGCGAAAGCAAATGTTGTTTATTCCCTTTAAAGGGAATATACATCATTTGCTTTTGCTGTAATTTTCAGAAATGGATGGAATTGGGAGGTTGGAAATATATAGCAAATATAGTTACACTGACTTTTTTGAGGTTTTGGGTTCGAAAATGCTATAAAAACCAAGAAAAACAATCATTTTTTCTGTAGTCTGGTTCCCTGACTCCATATAAGAAGAAACAGAGCAGTTTACATACATTGGGAAATTGTAAGGTCAGAGAACCAGTCTAGCTGGCTTGTACCCGTTCATAGGTGTGTAATCGATTGCAAACAAGTGCGATGGTCAATTGGGGCCAGTATTTGAAAAAAAGCCAGTTTTTTTCCAACGCTGGTCGGCTGACCAGCGTTGGAAATTGATACAAAAATACCACTTTTCTTGAAAATGACAGTATACCAGGTGCCACGATTTTACAGGATGCTTTACACTGTCATTCACTAACGGTCCAGCAAGGTATTTCAAAATGATTTGGTAGGTTTTTTTTTTGATGTTTGCAAATGTTTTATTTTCCCTTTAACAAATGCCGACAAGAAACACTTATAATTAAGTACCAAATTGCCTTCTTTTTCTATGGTTGTATGGATTCCTCACTGAATCAACACAATGTAACACAATGTACTGCAGGTGCTAATGGTTCAGAACGAAATCACCTTGTTAATTTTTTTGCATCACCCAGGGGCGAAAATCCATGACAAAAAAAATTAGAAGCTTGAGAATACAAGTTTGTTTTTCTTGGTTTTCCCCCAAAATCCATCAATGTCTGAAAATTATAGCAAAAGAAAATGTTGTATATTCTCTCTAACAAATGCTGACAAGAAACATTGGATTGTTTTGGAAAGATGGTGGCTCCCTTACACAGTGCTCATGACATGGCAGTGGAAGGCAAAACCGAATATCAAAAGCTCAGGCATGCAACTTTTCGTCGGATCCGCTGATTTCCTCGGTTTTTTTTTTACTTCTCAAGAATGCCATAACAAATTCAAAAACACCATACAAAGTCTCGTGTGGTTTGGAGTTTCCTCGTTTTTTTTTATTTATAAATTCCCAGTTGCATGCCTGAAAGCCAAATCCTGATAAAAAGAATCTCCAAGCGTTAGAATATGACCCACCTGTTTAGGACTCGGACTCTATCTTGGAGATGTCCACTCCCATGGCCCCGTCCTTCTCGTCATCAATGGTGAAGTCATCCATGCCAGTCTCCATCACGCTGGCATAGTTGGGGTTGTCGAAGCCCGCGGAGAGGGTCTCGGGGGGCAAGCCTTTGCCCTTCTTGCTTCCCTTCTTGGCCCCGGCCTTGAGATCCTCGGTGTCTATGTCTGTCAGGTCCACGGTGGCCACGCGGGTCGGGTCATCGTACAGGTTCTCCTGTGGGGAAAGAGGGACAATAGGGTCTAGGAATGGGTAAAGGTCCAACTTTTTGACATTTATGTACAAACCAATGGGGTATCTTCCCAATGAGCTAGAGTATAAACAAAACCTATGTTTGATCTTGTTATCTTTTACATCTGAGGACTTGAGACGATGGGTTTCCTAAAGTAACAATAACCATGATAACCCTGATGACCTGAGCCAAGTCTTCGGCAGGTTTTCGTGTACAAACCTTAAGGGACATGTTGAGAAAGGGTTAAAAGTCCAATCCATGGCAATAAAAGAAGGGAACAATTAGGGGTCCTCATAAGTATACTAAAAACCAACTGTGAGTGGGTGGGTGTGTGTGAAGGAGGAGGGGTGGTAACCACTAAAACAACTGAACAAACAAAGAGGGTCTAAATGGATTCTGCACTGGGGTTAAGCATGTACCAATTTCATAAGACCTGTGGGTTTTTTTCAGTTAAAGTGCACACTTTGTGTTTCACTAGCTCTGACGGCCACCAGAAATGGCTGAATCGTCAGATGGATTGAAAGAACAATGAAAAATATGAAAAATGTTTGAGTGTGGTTGAAATATACCTTTGCCCCGGGTACAGTGTAGACAGGATTGTCAAAGCTCTGCATGTACATGGCAGCCGGCTGGCCTGGAATCTCTTCCATGAAGCCCACGGGAATGTCTGAGGCAACCTCCATGTCTGCATGCAGAGGCTGGTCCTTGGTGAAGAAAGTGCTGCAAAGAAAACGCACCCATAAGGTTACATATGCTTCAAGTACACAAAGTCAGACGGCACAATATCAAACACATGTAAACGTGTTCACACCGTCGATCGTGGACGTGCTGTTGTCCCTCTTTTGTTTGTACTTTTTAGGAAGACTCCCATAGGTTTTGTACACGACCCCAATCGCGGACGTATGCTGGGAATCGTGGACGATATTGTTCTCTTTTGTTCTCTGGAATTTTCATCCACAGTTTGAATAGATGAATACACCCTGCAGTACCAGTTATGGGAAACGAACAGATTTGGCCTCATGGCCGAGTTGCATGATTTCTGACTCGGACTCGGACTGATGAGCTTTTTGAGTCAGGGTTTTCTTTCAGTTTTGTACTCGTGACTCAGACTCTGACTCAAGCCAAACGACTTGGGACTCGGACTCAGACCAGGATATCGACTGGGGCTCGTGGTTTGAGGACCTTAACCCTAATGAATGCAAGGTTTGCGGAAACACCATGTGCGAATAATTTCTCAACTAAGAGAACCAGAGGTATTAACTCGACGTTCCGGTCAGTTATGTTCTGACCGTGTTCAGAGAGTGTAGACGGTCAGAGCATACTGACCGTAGATGGTCAGAGCATCCTGAAGACGGTCAGAACATACTGACCGGAACGTCGAGTTTATAACTCTGGTTCTTTCCAGAACCATTCTCTTAGTTGAGAAATTATTCGCAAATGGTGTTTCTGCAAACCTTGCATTCATAAGTATCTCCACCATGCAAAGCCTCAAATCTTACTGACCTTAACCCTAACGATCCCCAACCGGCTTAACTCCAACACCAGGTTTGTTGGAATCTGTTTGGATGAGTACTGCACAAGTAAATCACTGTGCTTTACGTGGGATTAGGCATACCACAACTGTTAATATGCACTGTTTACCATATGGTGTTGGGATTTGCAAGGATGAGAAAGTTTCCTAGTAAATCACCCCGGGGGTTAGGTTAATACAAGTCTGCATGATTGTAACTACGATTTCCAACTTTTCTGAAAAAGAAGAGACAAGACAAGAAGCTATAAAACATGTACGTTAACATAAGGCAATAAAAATAATGTGACACATTATACCATTCAAAAGTTGCCCCATTTATGCAGGAGCAACATGATGGCAGTAGGAAACTGGGAATAGAGAGGGTGTACTTACGAGCGACGTCGGATGACAAGGAAGCCCAGAGTACAGATGACAACGACAATGACGATGACGGCAATGATGATACCAGCCACAGTCCCACCGCTGAGGCCGGTCTGGGCCCCTGTGCCTCGTTGGGAAGATTTCATGACAACGCTGGTAATGCCGAAAGATGCAGGGTCTGCCGACAAACAAAAATCAGAAATGGTTCAACACAGAGATGCCACAGGGTCTGCTTGAAAAAAACGGAAATGGGTCTGCTTGAAAAAAACAACGGAACGGCTGCTTGAAAAAAACCGGAACTTTTTTGTGTGTGAAAAGGCCACTCCGTGTCCGACACAAAGTCCCCGTTGTCATCTTTATCTTGGAGCCAAGCCAAGTTCTGTTTATTTTTTAATTTTGCTTCTATGGCCTTTAAAGCTGTCGGTTCGTTCAATCACTTTGACTTTTTCCATATTCCTAATATTTATTCTGCACGAAACATGCACGATTCCACAACACTGCTGTCGGTGTACATGATCCTTGCACTACGCGATGCGCTCAACGAAAACATGGTTGGTACCCGCATTTTTGGATTCAAATATATCACTGCGATCGGAAACCACCGATAACTGAAATGATAGACTTGATTTCCAGGCTGAATGCTACGTGTGCTTAGCACAACACGCCCGCACGCGGTGAAGCACGCGCGAGGCACCGTTGTATACTGCGTGCAAGTACATTGGCCGCTTGTATCGCATGCAGGCTCGGCAACAACATACACAAAGACTGTTTTTAAGACTACTTCAACAAACAACGTTGTGCCATGCGTGCGCCTAAATGTACTAAATCGAGGTAAAAATCAACGCATTTCCACAGTTTTTCTTCTCTTTTTCTGGTTAATTTGTGAGAATTTTGTGAGATTTTTTTTAAAAACCGGAATTCCGGTTAAAACCGGAAAAGTGGCATCTCTGTAAACAGGTACAGCTACTGGATAGTAAAGTGTCCCCCTCCCAACCCCCCCCCCCCTGAACTCTCCAAGTACCATCTCTGTCACAGCTTTTGAAAAAATACATCAGAAATATTGATACATGTATCAAAAGTATAGTTCATCAGCATTTCAGCAACAACACAATTTTTTCCAATCAGGAAAATATTTATATAGTAATGGCCAGTTCAAAATAGTGCAGCCTTTCCATCAGTCAACAACTGTTACATAGTTCCCGCCCGAACGTGCTCACTGCTATCAACCCACTGAGCTTACCGTTCTGCATGTCTGTCATGATAGTCTGGGCCAGGTTAATAGCTGTCAGCCCGCTGCTTGACCCTGCTGCCTTGTCAGTCAGCACCATTTGTATTTTATTGTCGCTGGTCTTGGATGTGTAGGTATCCACCTCCCCCGTGTCCAGCTCGCGCCGTTTCCTGGTCTGAGGAATCACCATAACATTGCAAGGGAAATTCAGATTTGGCCCATTCTATAAATTTAGGGTTCGAAGTTTGACATGTGTCCTGTCCCTATTGACCTATTGTGGTAGAATCGCGTTAAAATCGCATCATCACAGCTTGTGAAATATTGTCCAATTACATGATATACTAATGGACGTGGAACGCGCAAAATCTGAGACAAACAAAACGTAGTGTACAAAAACTCCATAGGGTTGTCTAAGGGGCATGGCTAACTCGCAAACGGCGATAGGTCAATAACCTTGCTACTTTGCAATTTCCAACTCAAGTATCATTATTAAAGGGAATATACAACATTTGCAAACATCAAAAACAAAACTACAAAATTACCATGAAATACTTTACTCGACTGTATGACAGTATAAAGCATCCTGTAAATTCATGGCACTCGTTGTGCTAATATTCAAGAAAAGTAACATTTTTGTATCGGCCAACCAGCGTTGGAATGAAACTGGCTTTTTCAAAACCAAAATACCATATTTAGTTAGTCTGAACTTTGTTTGTCGATTACACATCAATGAATGGGTAAAAGCCTGAACTAGACTCGGTCCCTGACCTTACATTTCCCCGACGTCTATAAATTGCTCCATTTCAATTTAAGTGGGGTCAGGGAACCAGACTACAAGAACATGATTGTTTTTTTCTTGATTTTCCAGCATCTTCTAACACAAAACTTCTAACAAGTCAGTTTAAGGCCTCTTTGAGGGCAAACACTTGGTGATGGGGCCCTGTTTTGCGAATCTCAAATTGAGATCAAGCTCTATCAGCAATACTTACCCCTTGGGCGGCCTGGCTGTCGTGTATGTGGTAGTCATCATGAACCCTCGTCTTAAACGCCGCCAGGTTGAAGTTGGCCGAGTACTCCATAGTCAGGATGGCACCTACATGTATGAGAAAACATTTGCAAATTTTCTTCAAATAAGACGGAACATAATTCTTATTCAATTGGTTTAAACAATAACAGTTTTCCAGTAACATGGGAGACTAAAAAAAATATCATATACTTCAATATGCTTACTAAACCCTTTCAGCACATTTTGTCATCTATTTCTAACTGTTAATTAAGTAATAGATTAAGTATCGCTGGAAAGCCATTAAAGTTTCAAAGCAGGGAGTTTTCATGTTCATGCCACAGCAAGTCACAAGTATGTAGGTGTTTTTTATGTAACTGAACAAAACTGAGCCCCAACCCCTTGTAGAGGTAATACTGGCTAGGCTTTACAATCTAAAAACCATTGATGACAGCCAGTTTATTTCCCATGGCGGTGTGAAACACGCTGTGGGCTTGAGCTGCTAATGTTGGTGAGTGGGTTGGTTGGTGGACACTTTACTCGGCCGTTATAGCTGTTTCCATGCCACGCGTGTATCACAGCTTTGCCAGCGAGTTTTTACCGAATACCTCCAGTTTTGTCACTTTTGTGACACTGATGCACATGTGTCTAATTTACATATTTGATCATGCCCCATTGCATTGCAAAATTCGCGGCTGTACAATTCATGGAACCGCCGTGGGTTGTACCCACTCAGTGCTTCATTTACACTTTCCTCTCAACTCTTTCACTTTAAAGTTGCTCTCCGGTGCTATTTTAGACTTTCACCCTGATTTTGTTTTTCAACTGCTATTTCTGTAGTAATAGCAAAATTTATTCAACTGAATGAGACATGGAACCAAAAAACTCTGCCCACGTTTAAATGTAGTTATGCAATTGATATTTTTACTGAAATCTCAAATTAGTCGCGTAACTATTGCAATAACAAGCAAAAAAATAAGTGTATTTTCAGAGGGTTCAAAAGAAAAAAGCTTTTTTCCGTTTAAATAAGACATACAACTTGAAAAATGGTTAGGAGAAAAATCACAAATATGTTGACGAGCAAAGTAGATAGAGCGACTTAAGACAAATGATACTTACCGCACTGTGGACAGCAGCCTCCTACTGGTGTGACCGCCTCACTGCATGATGTCGCCAAACAGTTGTACTGGTTGCAGATCTTTGCCAACTGTGAACCAAAATCATAAAATATTTAGATATGCAAAAACGCTGTGTCTAGATTTCCTTGAGTAACTCAGTCCTGAGGAATTAAAGGGAATGTACATCATTGGCTTTTGCTGTAATTTTCAGAAATGAACTTTTTGAGGGGTAAGTATAATAGATCAAATATTGTTACACTGACATGTTTGAAATTTTTTTTCTTCGAAAATGCTGGAAAAACCAAGAAAAACAAAAATGTTCAAGTAGTCTGGTTCCCTGACTCCACTAAAGATAAAATGGATCAATTTATAGATGCCAGAAAATTGTAAGATGAGGGATCCAGTCTAGCTGGCCTGCACCCGTTCACGAACATGTAACCAATAGCAAACAAAATTTGGACTGAAAAAAAAAGAGGTAAATTTGGATCAGATGTCGAGAAAATAGTTAGGTTTTTCCAACGGTTGGAAATGTATACATAAATACAATTTTCTTGAAAATGACTTCACACCAGGTGCCATAATTTTACAGGTTGCTTTAGACTGTCATTTACCAACATCCTAGTAAGGTATTTCGTAAAAACTTGGTAGTTTTATTTTTCGATGTTTACAAATGTTGTATATTCCCTTTAAAGGACAGAGCAATGTACACAATTCAGGCATGTGATGTGAACCAGGAAATTAACCCTCCTGCTGTTTGAACAGTCACAGACAGTCCAGACATCCATCCTCTTCCCCTGCCATGCCTTTCACACAGGCTAGTCACCAACAGTCAGGTCATACTTCAAGCAAGCAATGTGACTCATCAAATTCAGTCAACAGACAAAAGCAGGCAAGAAGTAGTTGACACAGCAGGTATTAAGTTACAAAATGTACATGTACACGAACAGTCACAGCCAGTCAATCCTGCTTCATGCAGGCTTGGAGCTCTAAGCTGTTGAACACAGTGACTTGATTCTGACTGAAAGCACAACTTTGCCGAGAATGTAGGTCCTATGTTTGCTTAGGAGGGTTAATGTCACAGAAATCTGCTGTGACAGATTTTGTGCTTTATCTTCAACATGTTCAATGCACTTTATCAACAATTACTGATCTCAGAGGCAAATGCCATGGAGCGCTCCAATACAAAAATGCCGCCTTCATTAACCCTAACCCCTAGTACATGTAGTTCCTCAGGACTACCCTGCTAAATCCAACAGAGTCTGACGGTTACTCATTTGAGTTTCCTGCTCAATCTAACAGAATCCAACTGTGCCTTATTTTGCAGTGGTCTGCTGGATCCAACAGAGCCCAATTTGGCATTATTTATCAGTACCCAACAGAATCCGACTGAATGTTTTCAGTTGCCTGCTGAATCCAACACATTGCAATCAGAAATCCCTTACGTACCAGGGGTTTACTGCTCAATCCAACAGGCTCCAGCAGGTATAGGATATAGTTGGATCATGTTGGATTCAGCAGGCTTAGGGTTAAACAAGACTAAGGAAAAGTCTGAGATTTCATCTCTACATGACTTACCACGTCCTCGTTGTCATTGCCGCATGCACAGCCGCTTGTGACCGGGCAAGCGCTGCCTTGAATGTTGACTGAGCCACTGGTACTAGAAAACTGCATCTGGCCAGTAGCAGAACTCAGGAAGGTTCTGAACGAACTGGTGGTATAGTCCTGTGGGATAGAGATCATTCAAAGACATTGGTAAGATGTGGTGGACCTGAGTCTTTGCTTAGAATCCTTCCTAAAGTCTCCACCAAAGTTGAAGAGTATAAACTTATATACGACGGGGACACAGCTGGGCCAAGTCAGTGGACAACAAAAACGCAGTGAAGTTGGTACACAATTTGGTGCATCACGTCACGCACAGAAAAGGCAGAGTACATTCGCTAATGGGTTCGATTACGAGTGTTCCCATCGGGAACGTTCCGTTGGGAATGCACAAATAAGTCCGTGTTCCCAAAAATCATCAAATGTTCCCATCGGAAAGTTCCTTTTGGAAACACTTGGTGTTCCCAAAAAGAGCATGCGCTGCTCATGCGCTGTTCCCAAAAAGAACAGTTAGTGTTCCCAATGGAATGTTCCGAGCGTTCCGACTTATGAGACGGTCCTTAAGTTACAACCAGTTATTGTTTTGACTTATTCGCACGATATAACAAACAATTGCTGACTGCCGTGATGTGGGATATGCCGATTTTAATACCCTCAGGCACATAGCACCCTCGGGTGTTAAAAACAGCATATCCCACATCACAGCAGTCAACAGTTGATAAACGTTGTATGTAATAACCCTAACCGAACTCAACCCATCAAAGTCCAACAGCAGGTTTTGTCTAAATCTGTTGGGATAGGTACAGTACCCCTGAACTGATGGTCTTTTACATTGGGTTTGGCATACCTCCAGAAACTAAGTCCAACATGTTGTGTGTGTACGATTTCCCACATGGGTGTTGGAATTTGCCTGGATGGGTACGGTTCCTAGTAAATTATGCTAGGGATCAGTTAGGGTTAAACAATGTTGCTCATCTAAGCAATGATAACAAAAATATGAATTGAAGCGCTGGTTGGAGTAACACTCTCCATCCAAAAGTTAAACCCACCTGTCCAGAGAACCTCATGGTCCCTATAGTCACGCTGCTATCCAACTCCACGTTGAACAGCTTGTCCTCCGGGAAGGTGACCGCATCGTACGTACAAGGAACTCTCTCCGACTCCACCGAGACCAGGTTATCCAAATCCTGCCAGTTGTCAGGGTCAAACCAGCTGGCTGGGTCGGTGCGCACAAAATTGATGTCTGTTGGAGTACAGGGTCAGCTTTGTGTCAGTACCAGTCTTAAAGCTACAGTCCAGCATTTGTAATTTGTGCATTTTGTTCTTTGAAGTAACAAGAGAGTTCAAAATCTAATGATGGATACTGAGCAACTAACCTGATGAAGTTTCAGCTAAGCTTCAGCTGTACATTCCGAGAAAAACAGTATTCTAAGATCTCAATTTCAAATCAAAAGTTACTAAATCATGTTTTGAATTGTTACTAAATCATGTTTTGAATTATAACAACCGCGCGCGCGTGTGCGTCGTTCCAAACTTGCCGCGCGCTGCGCTGAATAACAAAACGAACTACTAATTTAAATTTTCCTACGGTGCTTCTTAAGAATCACCGTTGGAAATGCCTTCTTTCGTTGATTACTTCAAAATGACAACTTCCCAGAAAGAATAATTTCACAGGGAGTTTAGTTCCCTTACTATCTTTCAACCAAGGTTGTTTTTCAGCAATAATTACGCCAGTTACTTTTTGGATGGCTGCAAATGATGGACTCTAGCTTTAATTATTATGAAAGTATGGGATTATGCCAAGTTATAGAAGTACATCTACATGTACATGTAACAGTTTGTGAAACGGCTGAAAAGTTGATCTCCAAAACAACATGTACATGTACTAGCAACAAACTTTAAATGTGATATCAAAGTAAGGGTCAATGCAACATACAATAGGCCTGAGACCTACGTGATGTACTTCGTCTGGCGTCCTGACTTCGCTCCCATAGGAAAGCCCATTTATTTAAACAAAGCCATTATGGGTGCAACCCTGCAATAAAATTCCCATAGCACACTGCATAGACACTAGTGCTAAATGCCCATACTTACAAAATTCTTTTAAAATTACTCAGAACTCTCACAGCTATTCAAGCTGCACACAAAAATATGATGATCAACATGTCATCTTTCGTTTTCTTTTCATTTTTTGGTGGGTTGACTATTGACTTTTCCAGATATTCTCACCCAAAGAAGACGACCCCTATTTTCCCCAAAGCAGAAAAGTAGCCATCTTGAAAAACAATCCCTCCACAACATGGCAAAATAGCGCCACTTTCGAGCCCAATAGCATCCAAAATGCTCAGAATTGGAAGCCCCAAGTCCAGGCAAGAGGTTCATTATCATATCTCTTCAATTCCCCAATTTTATGGCTCTCAGAACTCTCTCAAATAGAATATTTTGAGGGTATAACTTTTATTCATGAGCTCGGCGGACACATTTTTGGCCTACATACAGGCGTGCACACTTATGTCATTAGGTCTCAGGTCTATTTTGGAGGACTGCGGAGGATTGATTGTCAGACAGGGACATTCAGTAGCAGTTGATTTTGGAGGAGCGATGAATGGCATCTGAAGAAGAGGTTGATTTTGGAGGATTGCGGCTGAATGCATTTTGAGAGGCAGGGCTGTTGGAGGATTTTGAAGGACGGAGGCAGTGGGTATCTTTCATTTGAACATACGTACAAAATTTTAGAGGATTTTGGAGGATTGAGGATGGTTCCTGCATGTAGCAAGAAGGGCCTATAGGAGTTAGGGTTAATGCCAGACTGGGACCTGGAGTGCTCTGAAACATGTAAAACTAAATCAGGCCAACTTCACTCACTCTCTAGCCAGCAAATTTCTTCAGAATTCCACTGGCCAAAGAAAAGGTCCTTAGTATTTCACCAACCAAGTTTGCAGACTCAATTCAATTTTTGAAGGAGATATTTGTTCATATTTTGGCACATGAGAGGGAAGTCAAGTAATTTCAAAATGAGGCTAAAGACAAGACCAGTACATGTCCAACCATGGTCCGACTATTTGAAAAGACTAACCTCTTCATTCAGTGTCATTAGTCTGGTGGCTGACTATGGAGAAATGTGTAGTACATAGAGACTAGTTCCTGGTTCATGCCACATGTTTCTTTTGGCACAGTTGATTGATGCATTGATTACTGAAGCGGTGTTGAACTGGTTGTTTTAGGTGCCAGTCTATTTTCTTGTTTTTTGCATGTTTTTAATACCTTAAGTTTTGGGACTCTCATACACAGTGTTGAGAGTCCCAAATGTTCAGACTACATGTAGGTTAATGCCACAAATGAACAATACCATGTACATGTATCAGCAAGTCACAGATTTGACGAACACGTAAACTCAAAAGAATATAGTTTTGGAGTAGACTTTTGTTTTGTGGTATAATTTACCTCCCCCATCACATCCTGGGTCAGCAGCAACATCGTCAGAAAAAGTAAGAACCATGTCGTTCGGCATCATAATCACGCCATCCTTGGGCAGCACGACTTCCTTCACGGAACTGATGTTGGTCTGGAAAAGGACGGCAGTCACCTACAGCAAAAAAAAAAAAAAATTGAAAACGATCTTTGTTTAAAAAAAAATTAATTAATACGAGAGCAAATTACTTGAGAATATACATGTGACATACTTTTTTATATTTTCTTTTTTTTTTACCTCAAAAGCAAACCCAACTGGGGGTTGAATGGGTATGGAAAGAAAATATCAACAAAAAAATGAAGCACTTATTGTTTTGCTTCAACATGTTCAAAGTATTTTATCTTGAGAGTACATGTACATGTACATGTTGGTACAAAGTTTTGCCCTACCATAATGTACATTGCATTTGCACTGCTTTTCTGTATGACAACTTGGTCCACAGACACTTTAGTCCAAGTTTTTTTAAAGTAAACAGTCTCAATTAAATGCAGGCTGAATCTGCTCAAATGTGCAAGGGCCTATTACATCTACTAATCGATGTGGGGCTCTGTGTTTTGCAGTGAAATTTTTTAACTGCAAGGTGCTTTAACCTTCTGAAAGGGTATGAATGGTCAAAGGTCGTAAAAACAAGCCTTACTTGTATAATTGACAAAAAAATGGCACCTGACAAAAACGCTAATTTGAATATTCAGTTGGTGATCGAATATTTGCATGTTCATTATATTCGGGACACCCCTACATTCACCCATGATGAGTGGTAATTACAATGTACATGCATGCACATTCAATATTAAGCCAGTTCGGTATTAGTCTAGGTCAAAGGTCATTTGGGATAAAATTGCTGATGTGATGTTACGCAATGCTACGCGATGCCACGCGAAAGCCTATCCTGCTCGTAACTAACACGCAAGCATCTTGCGCCCATCGCCATGTGCGTTCAAGTGCAAGCACACCTCATCCACCACAGATTCTGTGTCTTGATTGGCGGAGAGCATATCACATGGTACTCTTTATTTTTTAAATTTTTTTTACAGATTCCAAACAGAGAGAATACAGTAGGCCTTCAATTTTTTTTCTCCTAGGAGGTTATTTCATAATTTGTTTACTTTGAAGGAAAGGAAGGTCAAAGAGATGGACAGAAAATAACCCGTACCAACAAATCAATTGGTACCATCTCACACCCCTCCTTTATCAACAACACAATGCAACTCACTTGAACAATCTGGGGGCCGATAACACGTCAGCTCTATTTACTCGGCATTCACAATGAAGATAACCAATAGCAGTGCAAATATGGTGTGCCATCATTTCAATGGTTATGACACACAAGTGGTGCCCCTTACAATGTTTACATTTGGTTTTTATTGATTCTTATCAGTAAAAAATACAGCCATACAATGGTGATACTGATTGTTCAAATACACGTACATGGTAATAAAAATATAATGCATGAAGAGCTTTATGGAAAAGTTTTGAATATGGGCAAACTGGTACCAACACCACCTTTTAAAACAGTAATACATTCAAACCATTTAACTATTAAAACGGAATAAAAACCAAAACTACCAAATAATTATGAAATATCTCACTGGACTGTTAGTGAATGACGGTCTCAAGCATCCTGTAAAATCATGGCACCTGGTGTGCTGTCATTTTCAAGAACAGTGGTCTTTTTGTATCAATTTCCAACATTTCAAATATTGGAAACTTTTATCATGATAACCGACACAGTTAAATAAATGTTTTAATAGAATGGCTTGCTTCAGAGAGAACATGAACGTTTTGTTTTGTTTTAAAGATATAGTCCATCATTTGTAATTTGTGCATTTTGTTCGTTTGAAGCAACAAAAGTGTTCAAAATCTAATGAAGGATACTGAAACAACAAACCTGATGAAGTTTCAGCTCAGCTTCAGCTATGTATATTCCGAGAAAAACAGCATTCTAGGATCTCAATTTCAAATCAAAAGTTGCTGAATCATGTTTTGAATTGGGCCTGAATTCAGCGTCCGAGACGCGTTCTCACTGAGCCGATTGCAGCTATACGCGATGTCGCGCACTGATCCGACGAATTATAGCAACCGCGTGCGCGTGTGCGTCGTGCCAATGCTTGCACGCGCTTCGCCGAATAACAAAACGAACTACTAATTTAAATTTTCCTACGGTGCGACTTAAGACTTAAGTCGCACCGTTGGAAAGGCCTTCTTTTCGTTGATTACTTCAAAATGACAGCTTGCCAGAAAGAATAATTTCACAGGGAGTTTAGTCCACTCACTATCTTTCAACCAAGTATGTTTTTCAACAATAATTACGCCAGTTACTTTTCGGATGGCTGCAAATGATGGACTATAGCTTTTACCCTAACCCCTTGAGCAGTTTTACTAGAAAGTATCTTGAATCCAAAATCTACCTGCATTGTATTGTGTCATGCACAAAACAATTGGAGTTGGTGACTGCTCAGTATGGAGGTATCCTGAATCCATCAAAATCCTGCAGTACCGCTAGGCTTTACAAAATCCTCAATCCATCAAAATCCACCGTTTTCAATTAGGCCATCAGCCTGGGGGTTTGGTCAGTATCAAACATGTCAAATCAGGGCATAAAATAGTGCACATGTGCAAGGTATACTGCCCCTAGAGTGGTAACAAGCATGTTGATGGACATTTTGGCATGTTTGGAAAAAAGGTGACAACACCCAAAAAGCTGCCACCGCTACAATGCTATCACATATTTTCCAACTCTGGAGGTGTATACCTTGCCAAAAATCGCTATGACGATTATTCTCCTCATTTGATACCGGTGGCCAAAATTTTGGACCGAGGCTAATGGCCTAAATATGGAGGTATCCTGAATTAGCCAAAGTACTCCAAAACAGGGGTAAGAATTTTGACAGATTCAGGGTGGTTAGGGATAATGAAAAAAGGTTTCAGTTGAGAACCTACTGTTTCGGGGAAAACGATCCTGTTGGTGGCACATGGTGTCTTTCCACTGTCCCAGTTGTTGGGATTATCGAAGTTGACGTCTAACTGCCACTGCTTTGACGACCCTGAGCAGATGCCTACATGTAGAAATGAATGAAAATAAGTATCAAACAGCAGCACACTCTGAAATGCACGAGAGAATGCATGAAATTGCTGAATTTTTAATAAATGTAAAAAGCAGTGCATGGATTGTAAAAAAAAAAACACACCATTTCTTCCTGCTTCGTCTACTATAGGCCTACCTCATAACCATGCAGCAGTCATTCACGAAGCTAATGATCGACTTAAAACAGAACAAAAGTTACAAAAATCTGAAAAATATTGATTATTTCGGTGGCTTCTTCAAAACATCCCCTGAATAAAGTCGGATATTTCCCCTGTAACGTTCAAGTTGATTAACCTAATCATATATGCCCGCAGGGTGATTTCTTAAGAACCTGCCCCTCCACGCGGTGGAAATATCAGAACGCTCTGCTAGCCTCTGGATTAAAACTTAACCACAGTACCAGGAAGCGAAGTTGTAATTAACTAAGGGGTGAGTCGGTCAGGGGGCGAGTTGGTAAGGGGCGAGTTGAAAGTATAATCAGCGTACAATACTGTGTAGGCCGCTATGGGTAATCCTTACTTTTAGGACCCCGTTCCTATATAGGAAGGGAGAGACTCACCAAAACAGTTGACTAAATGACACTCAACATTGACATTCTGATACTTCTTGGCACATCTGAACAATTGGCAATGACACCTTCTTGAATATCAGCAGGTTTAGTTTTGTGGAGAGAGGGCAGGGCTTTGATTTATGAGGGAAATTCAGGGGTAAAAGACGACGATGACAACCAGAAAACAGACTCAAAAACCAAGATGGCAACCGTGAAAGCTCGATGTGATGAAAGCTCGATGCTGATAAGCTGATAAAAAAATAAGATAGTGGATATTTTGTCGGAGGTAATGACGGCAAACTAACGATTACTAAAGGTTTGCCAGCGGCAATCCATATCAACAGAGGGCGCTGTACTCTTTAAAATAGGGCTGAATTATAAGATGTATTAAATTCCCACCAAAACTGTGTAGCACGTCTGGTGTAATGGTTAAGCAAAAGCTTTAGTAAGCGGGATGACTCGCGTTCGATTCCGACCGCGTCACATTTTTCAGTTTTTTTTTCTCATCCCCAAATAAATAAGAATATTCTTCGTTTATTATTTTAACATGTCTCAAACATTTTTTGCAGAGTATTACATTTTCTTTTTCAGATTTGTGGCTCTGGAGGATTTTTTTTAAAAGGGAAATAAAGTCCGAAATTATAAAATGGTCTGAATCCCATCTTGTGAATACGAGGTAACAACGATAATTTTGGCATGGAGCCAGACTAAAACTTGTCACCGGAAAATGTTTTAAGTACAAAAAAACAGTAACTGCGCATGTTCAGTGCATATCCGGCAAACTAACGTTTACTAAAGGTTTGCCGTCTCCGGCAAAATATACACTGCCAAAAAATAAACATCTTATTTATTTTTAGTCTGGTTCCCAGACCAAAAGATTCAGGAATAGTCAGTATCTAAGTTTTGGTCTGAGAACCAGACTAACTTATTTATTTTTAGTCTGGTTCCCAGACCAAAAGATTCAGGAGTAGTCAGAATCTTTTGGTCTGGGAACCAGACTAATTAATTTTTTTAGCAGCCAATCAGCATCGGGCTTTCATTATGTAGGGCTTTCACGCGTTTGAGAACTACAACATGCACGTCTGACTGCGAAAAAAGGTAGGAAAGTCACATTTTCTCCGAAAGTGCTTTCAAAACTACAACTATGAGTTTATATGAAGAAAAAACGCAGTGGCTATTGTTACGGCAGCCGTAACGCATTTCCCATTTTCTATCGTTACGGTAGTACTGCAACTTTTATAAAAACATGAGAAGGGAAAAAATTCCATACTCGGACGTCACTTTTTTCAATTAATTTTCTAGCGCCAAAAGTTACATCTTTTATGGTTATTCCTCCACTTTCCCTCCTCTACTCTCACCCTCTCCTTTCCTTAATTTCTATTTATTAATCAGTCAGTTACTTCATCGGGATTCGAACCTCTGACGCTTGCTTGACACACGAGACTCTTAACCGCTAGGCCGCGCACGATCGCTGTTGCAATAATCAATCTTTGGACGTATTTGAAGTATCCATTGAAATAAACTAAATATTCATGAGAAAATAAATATTCATAATGACGTATTGCACTATCATTGGCAGGCTCATGCGACGTCATGGTTGTTGATGTCACGTGTATAACGTACCGCTGTCTTTCAGCCACTACAATCAGTTTTGACCGGCTGCTTCAAGTTAGTTCTGCACGACGTATGCATCCAAAATGTGCTCTAAAAACACATTTTGAGTAAATTTTTTTCACCTTAACACAGCTTCCTGGATTTCTCTTGGTTCAAATGACAAGGTGAGGTGACAATTAATATGTTTGGCAGCAGATAAATTGGCATCCGAGTATGGAACTTTTCCCCATGAGAAGAAAATATAAATAAGAAGGAAAAAAGTGAATTTGAACGTTATAAAATTCGGACTTTATTTCCCTTTAAAAAAAAACCCTCCAAAGCCTAAGGTTAGAAAAGGAAAAAAATTTGAGTGCAAAACTGAGATGCGAACCCGCAACCTCGCGGTGCAAAATCCTACCCGCTATCGACTGAGCTGTCGCACTGTTCACCACAACACGGGAAAACAAATAATTATATACCTGCGTGCGTATCAAAAAAGAATCGTTGAGGGCGCTAAACAACGAATGCCGTAACGATGAATGTCGGTCGTTTCGTACCCAAGTCGTTTCGTACCCAGGTTGTTTCGTACCCAGGTCGTTTCGTACCCAGGTCGTTTCGCACACAGGATTCATGTTTGTCTTCTATATTGTAGCTACTCCTAGAACTATGGTGAGCGGGGCCTCATAGATCGAGCGATGATTTTCGGTTCGCTCGGAGCGCGCCGCGGGGGGTACGGTACATGCACTTGTACGCATGCACATCAGCATGGCTATGCAGGCGCAGGCACGTGCTCAGCGCTCTGTCAACTGGTCGGATTCGACATCGTTAAAATGCTGAGAAAGACATCGTAAAAATGCCAAGAAAACACCGATGGAGAAAGAACATTTTTGCAAGTTAATTCACAGATTTGATCTAGCTTGTCTGTGTATGTATTTTCCGTGTTTGCATGACTGGCTTAATCTCCTTTGTGCATCATAATTGACTGGGTACGAAACGACTTGGGTACGAAACGACTTGGGTACGAAACGACCTGCTTCGGTAACGATAGCCACTTCGAAAAAAGACTGCTTTACTTTAGCCAGAAAAAGTCACTTTGGTCAGGCATTGTCAGGTACTGGACAGTCATCTGCAAAAGTCAGTTTTGAACAGAACTTGTAAAAAAGAGAGGTGTCCTAAAAGTAAGGATTACCCCGCTATGGTCACTGGTGTAGGCCCTATGTAACAAAGTTTTACTCTTCGATTCTTAGCCCCACTTGTCATGCTTGTGTGGCCACCGTATTGCTGCGCTGTACGTTCAGCGCAGCAATACCGAGGCCACACAAGTGGGGCTATTCGATTCTTGACTTTGACACGGTCGGTAAAAATAACAAGACATTTCTACGACCTACTTACCAATAAGCGACAAAATAACGACCAGTACTTTCATGATGAACTTCGACAAGACGCTCTGGATTAAAACTTGTGCCAAACCGGATCAACTAAAAATGAGTTTAAAAATATTACATTGGGGTAAAAAAATTAGCAAATTATCTTCCCTCCCCACACTCGTCGTACTTCGCAGATCTACCCCACTTCCTCCTAGCCCTTGAAACGTTAACCAAACTAAAAACAGGCACAAGTGCACCAGGCTACTTTTCCATTTACTTGCTGAAGAATCGACGTCTAGTACCTGTAGCGACTCAACTTTGGAACGTAGTTGGACCTCACCACCACATAAACCGGAAATTATTAAACCGCACTACAATTTCCGGATTACTTACTTTTAAGGGAAAGGGTGGCTCATTAAATAGGAAATATCAATTTCCAGAAGAAAGGAAAATCGATGGCAACTGAAATGAATGTTTTTCACAAAGAGGTCAAAACAAGATTACACTGAACAAAACAGATGTCAAGATATGGAACTATTTTGTTCAAGGTCGGATGGAAATGCTTCAATGTTCGTCAACTTCACCCCGGACCCGTACGAGTACGTGCTGGAACGGTACCGTAGGGTTGTGACGTGTCGTGACGGTCCTATGCCGCTACATTGTGCAGTCTAGTGACCTCGCTCGACCCAGCCCGAGTCGTCCTTGGATTATGTTTAAGGCCAATATTAGCTCGGAGCGGGCACTTTGTTAATCAATTTTCCAAGGTAGTAAGTTATGAGCGAACACGGCAACTAAAAAGTATAGCCAGGAGAAAAAAACGGCTCATTTGACAACATGCACTGCAGATGCCTTTTTTTTAAATCCTTGATGACTTCAAGTTCATTTCCAACTAATTCCAACTTGGAAATTCAACGTCCGCTCTGCAAAACTACCGCATATTTCTTTATACATCAATTTAAATATTTATTATGTGAGCTGTACCAAAACGGACTAAAGTACCTTCAAGTAGGCATTGGTTATAGCAGATTAAAGATTGATAGATAATGATGGATGCTTCAAACTTTTAATAAACCACAATTATGTACATTTGACATAACCAACTGTCCAAGGGTTGTTGCGCCCTTTAAAAAAAAATATAAAAAAATTAGAACATTTATTTCGTCAGAAATATTTAAACTTAATATTGATCAAAACAGCTATTTTGAACTAAGCTGAATTAATTCCCTATACAGAAAAAAACCCCGAAAATGTGGTATTTTATAGCATTTTGCGGGAGGCCCTAGGGGAGGCCCTGGACCCGGTACCCGCAGGCCCGGTAAACGTCGGCCCATGCGCTAATCCGCTTCTGAATTTGACTTGCAAAGTTCTGTTTGCCACCAGTTACTTTATTTGGAAAATCGGTATATTAAGCAGTGACATATATAAAGTTAACTTTTTATGATCGTTTGAATAAAACGTTCAAAGTATTATGCAACACAAGTGTCTTGAGTGAAAATGTGTCTGAGTTATTTGTGATACGAGTTGCCGTTAAAGTAAGACATCATGAGGTCCTACGTATAGAAACAATGCAGCCTATTATAGCCCGGTTCAAATACTTCATGCGAATGCGAAGCGAACTTGACGTCATGAAACTTTCGCTGCAAAACTCGGCCGAGTTGAAATATGTTCAACTTTTACGAATTCGAATCGCGAATACTTGCCATAACATCAGAAATTCGTGTTCGCTTTCGCTTCCGCGCGGAGTATGAACCGTGTTTTAAAGTGGCTTTTAAACGCTGAAACTCTCTTAAAAAGTAAAAAAAAAATGTACGGAAGTTTCATATAGCCTACATTGTAGTTGCCTTAGAAGCGAATACCTTTGATATACCGATGTACTATACTTGATGTTTGCGCTTTTACAAATTATAAAATAATGTAATTAAGATACATGAATAAAATACAGGACTAAATAGATATTTAAAGAGCATGTTAGTTTTCTACACACCATAATAAAGTGTGTAAAGCTTTATGAAAGATAAAACCTCGTCGCGTACTTAGTAGTGGCCATGGTGATGCCCATCCTCTAAATGTTTCAGTGCCTATCGATGTTATCAAATACCACGCATTCCCGGATAACTGAGGGCGCTGTTGTCGTGATGTCATGTCAGGAAGACACTGTTCATATTAGGTGTTTTTCTGTTAAATAGTGAACCCAAAAAAATGTGCTGATTGAAAACATTTGTGAGAAAAGTTTACTCATTGTCTTACTGCAATGAACAAACACAACAACGAATCACTAATGACAAGAAAATTGAGGACAGCGAAATATCCAAAATTTTGGCAACTTTTTGAGCATAAACTAATTGAAGCATTGATGTTTCTGCCTGATAATGACGCCACACTTTTGCTCCCGAATATGGAAATGCGCATTAGCATAACAACCAAAAAGGCACCAAAATACCCTTGAAAATGGCAAAATAAGGTTAAAGGGACACAAAGGTGCATTTGGAAGTATTGCATTAAAATATTTACATTTCATGGCCCTTTAATCTGCACTGTTTTCTCCAAAATGTGGTATATAGTATCTTAGATAAGTTTCTTGTCCATGCACCACCTTTTTCTCGGGACTATTTGAACACGGTGCCCGTTGGCCAAGGGCGGATCCAGGGGGGGGGGGGCCAAAGGGGGCCATGGCCCCCCCCAAAACGAAACCAATTTTTTTTTTTTTATGTGACATCGCAATAAAGGCAGGCAATGAGTACACCACCATCTTTTCCTCAAAAAAACATTGGTTAAAGTGGTCAGAAATTGCCTCAGATCGCACCACAGAGCATCTAGAATCCAAAAAATTTTCGGGGCCCTTAAGCGGGCCCCGAACCCCACGCCGTAATTTTTTGGACCCAATTTTTTGGGGGACAAAAAAATTTTTTGGCCCCCCCCCAAAATTGTGTTCTGGATCCGCCCTTGCCGTTGGCATCAGTTGGGTCCCCCCCCCCCCCCCCCCCCCGCTTTTCGAACACCAACACGGTGACGGCCGGACCCGTCTCTAAAATCATACGAAATTGCTGCTTCTTGTTCTCAAGCAGGTATAGAGATACAAACTCTGCAAGTATTTCAGATTTCTTCCATTTAGGTTATGCAAAATATCCACAAATAATACCATTTACTACGGCCACTGACGAAGTGTACGATTCATCATTATTTTGTGTAGAAACAAAAATTGGGGTAATAACAGGACAACCATTGCAAAATGTACAAACAAAAAAAACCAGTTCGTTGATAACGGTGTGCCTCGATCGCCCTTTCAAAGAAAACTGTCTTTGTTTAAATTAATTAACCTCGATAACGATGAATTCGCAGAATGTTTACTGACATCTCTTCTACATCAGTATCAAAAACTCATCCTAAATATAGGCATATAAAATACTCATTATATTCATATATCAATCAGGCATTAAAATTCAATTGATTAAAGGCTGTATTCTGTATTTTTTATTTTTATTTAATTATTTTGGCAAATAATGAACAAACATACAGTGGTACATAAAAAATGAAGTTATTACATGCAAATACAAAGCCAAGGATAACCCCAAAAGCTGTTTATAAGACGTCTTATTTCCACCGGGATCCTTAAAAACACAACAAAAATTACACAGGAAATAGCAAAGAATGCATCATTAAAAACTCTGATAGGATTTCAGGCAACCACTTCCTCTGGATTCTCGCTGAGGAAGTCTAAGAACTGTCTCCTCCCACTCAGGAACAGCATAGACTCTGCCGAATTAAACAAAACAACAAACGAAGTCATTGAAATCTGCATTTTCTAAACTGAAAAAGGAAATGGTGAAAATGAAGAAGACCGCCGATATTGAAGGGGTTTATAGGTGCATTAAAGGCACCATTTTCTTTTCAGCATTTTGTTCGTTTATAATAGCACCAGTCAAAATCCATAGCAGAATGTTCAAAACCTAACCTGAGGAAGTTTGAACTCAGTGGGTGTTATACTTTTCAATGAAAACAGTTCGTCCATAGTACCTCTTTTTCAAAAATCAGTCAGTTAACTGATCATTCGAAATGATACATTTCTTGATTTTTGTTTCCATTTTCCTATGACAGCAAGCCAGACGGAATTCTTTCGCGGGGCGTTTAGTACCCGCAGCATACGCCCGTAGGTAAGGTTTTGGATAATAATTCGGTACATTATACTTTTGGGATAAATGCAAATAATCCTACATACCTTTGATCATACCGAGAGATGGTGCAGTACCATGTACAGCTTTTTGAAAATATGCCACAGGTATTACTTATTGGGCTCAGAATATGCAGGTTTGAACAACAATGCAGTTACCTTAAAGATACAGTCCATCATTTGTAATTTTGTTCGTTTGAAGCAACGAAAGTGTTCAAAATCTAATGAAGGATACTGAAACTATTAACCCAATGAAGTTTCAGCTCAGCTTCAGCTGTATATTCCGAGAAAAACAGCATTCTAGGATCTCAATTTCAAATCAAAAGTTGCTGAATCATGTTTTGAATTGTATTGAATTGCAGCTATACGCGATGTCGCGCACTGATCCGACGAATTATAGCAACCGCGCGCGCCTGTGCGTCGAGCCAATGAGAGCGCGCGCTGCGCCGAATAACAAAACGAACTACTAATTTAAATTTTCCTACGGTGCGTCTTAAGACGCAAGGGCGGATCCAGAACACAATTTTAGGGGGGGCCAAAAAAAAAATTTGGTCCCCCCAAACTGAAGTGGGTCAAAAAATTACGGCGTGGGGTTCGGGGCCCGCTTAAGGGCCCCGAAAATTTTTTGGATTCTAGATGCTCTGTGGTGCGATCTGAGGCAATTTCTGACCACTTTGACCAATGTTTTTTTGAGGAAAAGATGGTGGTGTACTCATTGCCTGCCTTTATTGCGATGTTACATAAAAAAAAAAAAAAAATTGGTTTCGTTTTGGGGGGGGGGGGGCCATGGCCCCCTTTGGCCCCCCCTGGATCCGCCCTTGTTAAGACGCACCGTTGGAAAGGCCTTCTTTCGTTGATTACTTCAGAATGATAGCTTGCCAGAAAGATTAATTTCACAGGGAGTTTAGTCCACTTACTATCTTTCAACCAAGTATGTTTTTCAACAATAATACGCCAGTTACTTTTTCGGATGGCTGCAAATGATGGACTATAGCTTTAAGCATGGAACAACTGCATGAACGTGCGATGGGTCCTCCGGCCCCAGTATC